AGATTACCTCAAAGATGGCACATAAAAATTACTACTTAACGTGAATTAAATTTCAACATGAGTTTTCAAAAGTAAATAAGGCACTTCATAAAGCATTAGTAGTTATGAAGGAGGATTGTAAAATAGAATTACCAGAATTCTGGGGAGAGATGGCAGACAACGGGAGTAGGCAGAACAGAAACTGACATGTCTCAGGAGTAAAATAGAAGAAAAAAGATAAAACAAACCAATGCAGAAATGAAGACGAAACTATAAGAAGCCCAGTAGGTGCCTATGGAACAGAAATGAAGAAAAGCAAAGGAAAAAAAGCAATCAGATTAAAGAGACACACAGTGTTTGGGAGATGATGACAGATGTGGAAACCAGGTAGAAAAGAACTTCGGGCCCACAATTGGGATTCCAAGAAAGCAAGCAAGCAGTGGAACAGAGCAAATATTTCAAAATACAATTAAGAGGGACCGGCCCAGTGGTGTAGTGGTTAAGTTCACGCGTTCCACTTTGTTGGTCCGAGGTTAACAGGTTCAGATCCTTGGCGTGGACCTAGCACCGCTCATCAGCCACGCTGTGGCGGCGTCCCACATAAAGTAGCAGAAGACTGGCACGGAAGTTAGCTCAGCAACAATCTTTCTCAAGCAAAATGAGAGGGATTGGCAACAGATGTTAGCTCAGGGCCAGTCTTCCTCACACACACACAAAATACAATTAAGAAATGTTCCCGAAATAAAATAATTCTGGACTCAATATTGAAAGGGTGGGGCGAGCCCCATGGCGAAGTGGTTAAGTCCGCGCCCTCTGCTTCAGCGGCCCAGGCTTTCGTCAGTTCCAATCCTGGGCGTGGACATGGCACCGCTCATCAAGTCATGCTGAGGTGGTGTCCCACACGCCACAACTAGAAGGACCCACAACTAAAAATACACAAGTATGTACCAGGGGGCTTTGGGAGAAAAAGGAAAAATAAAATCTTTAAAAATATTGAAAGGGCAAATTAAATCTTAGGGAAAACTGAGTCAGAAAAATCATCACTGAGACAAACCCTAGAACAATTATTGTACTTTACAGATAAAGACAGCCAGCCAGAAAGATCAAGTCACTTATCAGAAATTCCAGTGAATTAGAAGCCAGCCTTCCAGGGACTTCACCTCTGTGCCAGATGGCAGTGCAGCCACACCTAGAAGATGCTAGAGGAAAAATGCAGGAGCTGGAAATTTGAAACCAGCCAAGGATAAAATATACAGGTTATAGACCAACAATACCTCACATTTAAGAACTCAGAATATGGTTCACATGAGTCCTTCTTTTCTTATTTTTATTTTGGCTTTTTAAACTTTTTTTAAATAGAAAATGCCATACACAGAAATAGAACACAATAAACCCTCATGGGCACATTACGATAACCCAATGGGCCTAGCTGTAACAATCATTAACTCAGATCTCAGATGTCTTCTCAGTTCATCTGTAATATTTCATTCTTGAGGGAACTTCTAGAGGACTAACTCCAACCAACCAAGAGACAGCAGAAAATATTTCAGCCAGAGGAACGGCAGAGAGCTTCTAGTATCTTCAGCTGCCGATCAAAGCAAAACAAAGGTGTGGCTCAGGGGGAGAGGAATGGAATGTGAATGCTCCGGTATTTTCACAAAGTAGAAATGAGACAACCAGCAACAAAAAAAAGGAAGCTGGAAAGCAGAAAACGCTGGCCCTTGTCTCATCCGTAATCTGAGGGGAATCAGAGCTCAGAAGCCGAGGGGTAAAGGTTTCAGTGTGTGTAGGAGCACAGAGAGAAACGCAAAGGAGGCTCATCCTACTGACTGAGCAGGAGCCGTGAGGAAGGGGCACACCATCTAGAGAGATCTATCGGCAGGAAAGCCCCGGGCCTGCAAATGCAGGGCCGCAAGGGGAACCGAAAGGCGGTATTAGCAACTTTGCCTCTGGCTGGTTGGAGAACTAGGGTTTGGGAACTGCTGAGGGAAGAACTGATCTTTGAGACTTGACTGAGACCCAAAAGGTGTAGTGGCCACAGCTGTCTTCTCCGCCGGGCTGGGCGCAGCTAGCCTCATGGAGACAGGCCTGGGCTCCTCTTGGCTCCCCTGAGTCCCATGTGTTCCAGACATGGGGCCAAAGACAAGTGTAACCTGGCCATGTCCCCCAGGGCAGGAAACAGAATAGAGCGCTGGGGGAATAGAGGCACAGAGAAACAGGCATTGCTCGGACCGTAGGAGGACCAGCTGCATGGGGGTTTCATTTAGATGTTGCCAGAGCTCCTTGCTGGGCACTGGGCATGCCCTAATCAGTAGATGGGACTTGCCTGCAGCCCTGGGGACAACCACCCCAGAGGGGCACATAGGAAAGCGGCTCATTAATACAACTGTGGAAGAGAAGTCTAGGGTGTGAGAGGGTATCAGTCGCGGCTGCACTCATTCGAAGTGTGACCGTGTGTGTGTTGGGGGGCGGTCAGGGAAGCTGAGACCTGAGGGATGAAAGAGGGGCAGCCACCTAGACAGCGGTGGTTTTGGGCAAGGATGGAGAGCTGGAGAGCATTTTGGGCAGAACAAAAACCAGCATGTGCAAAGATCCTGAGGCAAGCAGGAGCATGATGTTAAGGGAAATGAAAAAGGTCAGCGCAGGCTGGCCCCATGGTGCAGTAGTTGAATTTGGTGTGCTCTGCTTCAGCGGCCTGGGTTTGTGGCTTCGGATCCCAGGAGGACTTACACCCCATCGCCATGCTGGGGTAGCGACCCACATGTAAAGTGGAGGAAGACTGGTACAGATGTTAGCTCAGGGCTAATCTTCATCAGCAAAAAAAAAAAAAAAGTCAATGTGGCTGAGAGAGACATGGGAGGGGCATTGTGAGGGGCAGGCTGGCAGGTGGAGGACCCTGATATAAGCTTTTGTTTGCAACAGAAAATCTAATGCACAGCAGCTCCAACCATAAGGAAATGGCATCCTCTTGCCCAGCCAAGTGGCAGCAGCAGGACTGGTTAACTTAGGGACGGAATAAAGGAACCCCGGACCCAGGTTCTTTCTGCATTTCTGGCTTTTCCTTGGGCTCGTTCCTCCTGTGGTTCCAAGTGGCCGCCACAGTTCTGAGCCTCATTTCCAGCCACAAAGTTGTCCAGCAGAAGAGGAGGGACTGCTTCTTCCCTCGCCTTCTTTTTGAGCATGAAAAACCTTTCTTAGAAGCCCCACGGCCCTCAGAGCTGGCCTCTCCTCTCCTTAGCCAGACGTCCCTCAGAGCTGGCCTCTCCTCTCCTTAGCCAGACGTCCCTCAGAGCTGGCCTCTCCTCTCCTTAGCCAGACCCGTGTCACACACCCATCCCCTAAGGCAATCACTCAGAGCAGGACCAAGGGGCACTGTTGAGCCTTCTGGGACTTCCCCCTGAGACACCAGGGCAAGGATGCACACCAGAAAAGCTGCAACGGCTCTGCCAGTGCAGCTCCACGGGCCTCCCGGCGTGGCCCCAACGGTCTCTCCCGACCCTGGCATCCGCTCCTGGAGGCAGGGGCTGGATACTGGAAGCGCCCTCAGAATGCTTGGGGTGTCTCTTCAAAGACCTTTTGGGGCCAGAGGAAGCAGCTTTGGCCCACTTTGCAGCCTCGGAGGCCTTCTTTGGGGGACAGTCAGCAACAGGGAACCAAGCGTGGACCTGAGCTCCGCCCTGGGGTGAGGGTGGGAGATGCTCTTGTCGGCTTGGGAGGGATCTCAGATTGGCGAAGGGAAAGGTCACCGGTGCAGATCGTCACTCACAGCGAGAGCCGGTAGGAGCGGGGAAGGGTGGGGCGGGGGGGAGGGGGGACACAGCCCCCTAGCGGCAGGGCGCGGAAGGCATCCCAGGAAGCCGGCCTGGTCACCGTGGGGAGGACGGACGACGCTTTTCCTCTCCATCTACCCCTAACTGGGAAGCGCCGCGTAAGCGGTGCTTGGGAGACGAAGCGGCCTGACTCCGCGCGTGCTCCAGCAGACAGCGCGCTCGTCCGGAGCGGGGGGCATCATGAGCCAAGGCGGGGGGGAGGGGCAGGAGACGCGGCGTCGCCAGCCGAGGGGTGGCAGGGAGTGCGGACGCAGGGGGCGCAGGAGTCCGCGCCGGCGCCAGGGCCGGGCCTTATCCGGCGGCAACTGTGAGTCACTCATCAGCAGGGCGTCCCTAGGGCTGGTGTCGCGTGCGCGGGCACATGCTGGGGGGGGGGGGGGTGAGGGACTTAGGTGTGCGGGAACCCTGGTCCCTCTGGGGGACGTGCCCGACGCAAATGCCGGCCTTCGTCCCGCACCACAGATACCGGCCGGTCCCGGAGGGGGATGCTCGGGGTGAGGATGAGGGGCTCACGCGCGCACGCGCCCAGCCCGGTCCGCGCGCTTCTCGTCCACGTGCGCGGCCCCGTGCGGCGCAGGCCCCTCCCCGGGGGGCGCGGCGTGGGCGGGGCTCCTCCTGGCGGCCGCGCCCGACCCTACAAGTCCGAGGCGCTTAGTCGCCTGTCCCAACCTGCTCGGTGGCCCACGGCCGGGAGGGGCCCGCGCACAAACAGCCCGCGGGCCGGGCGGGGCGGCGAGGGCCGGAAGCCCCGCCCTTGCGGCTCCGAGTCGTTCCCGGGAACTCCCGGCGCCCAGCCTGGGGGTGCTCCGGCGCCCCTCGCAGGGAGAAGTTCCTGAGGCCCCGGCCCTGGGCGCCCCGAGCGCAGCCCCTCGAGGATCCGGGGACCGAGTATCCCCTTCCTAGGAGGGGCTGGTTTCCTGGAGCTGGGGGAGCGGATTTGGAACCGGGGCCGGGGGCTGGCTCCTGGATCGAGCCGGGGAGGGGCACGTACCTAAATGGGGACTGAACTTCGCATGAGGGAGCGGTTGGATACGCGGCTGAGACGATGGGAACCGAACAGTCCGTCTAGGTTTCCTAATTTGGAGTGCCAGGACTCTGGAGGTGGAGGCTGGGTTTCTGGATATGGGGGCTCCGCTCTTGGCAAGGGACAGCTGGGCCCAGCTTGTGTGGAGGCAAGAAGTGGACGCAGCGTAGGGACACGTGCTTTAATGAGGCGCAAGCCAGGGAGCAGCCGCTGACCAGAGCTCAGGGCCTGGAGGTGTCACCCATGGCTCCCCTCTGTCATTTCAGGAGGCCCAATTTTTTCCCGAATCCCGAGAAAGTCTCCGAGGCCTGGTTAGCAGTCTTGTCGATGGTTTCCTGGGTAGATTTGGCCGCCTGGTCCATGGCTGGGGATGGAAATGAGAGGGCGGGAGAGGGCGTGTGACGGTGGGGCCCTGGGGAACCAGAGCTATGCAGGCGAGCCTGGCACCGTCTCCCTCCCCAGGAAGCAGGCCGTGGGGCAGTGTGCACAGAGGGGCTGCCGAGGAAAGGGTGTGCCCGGGCAGGGGCGGGGTGGGGTGGGAAGTGTGCTGGGACTGACTGCGCCCCCCACCCCCCCCGGCCTGCTGGGCCCCACCAGACCTTTCTGCCCTGCTTCTGTGGCCTGATCCACCACTTGCTGAACTGCTGCTCCGGCCGCTGTCACTGGAACAGAGATGTGGCCTTTAGCCCCCCCATTGGGCAGCCATAGGGGCCCCACATTGCCACCCCTATCTGTTCTCTAGAGTAGTCAGTCCCACTGGCCCAAGGGGCCAATGCCATCCAGGGAAAAATCCCTTGACCAAGGCCACCCAGGCCTGAGACACATGAGCCCTTTCCATGCCCCTTGGGTGTTCTTGTTTATTTGTAACTCTGGGCCCCTCCCCTCTGGCCTGCTTCCCTTCCCATCTCCAGGATTGCTGAGAATATGCCCACAGAGGAAGGCAGGCAGGGCCGGGCTGGGCTGGAGCTGCATCTGGGCTGTGGCTGCTGCTGCTGGGCATGGTCCAGGAAGAACCCTGCCCTCCTGAGCAACTTCTCCCCCAGAAGCCCGACTTGGATGCCTGAATCCCACTTCCTGCCCTGGGGCGCCCGCTTCTCCAAGGCCCTCTCACCACCTCCTCCCTCTCACCACCTCCTCCCTCCTGTGCCTGGCCCCCGGGCACACAAGCAAGGATGCCAGTGCCCTGTGGGCAGGCGGCTTAAGGCATTAGGAAACAAGTGCAGAAAGGAGGGGCAACTTCAAGTTCGGGCCATCACCTCTGGACCCAAGTTCTGTGCCTGTGCTGAACAGGGTTTCCAGGGGCTCAGATGCCTCCCCCATGCTGGATGGGCAGACAGGTGGCTCTGGCCTCCGGAGAACTGACTCATCCTTGCTGCTCACAGGAAGGTGCCTGCCTTACCCAGACGCTGGGGGACGGGGGTGGGGGCTCAGGCAGGCCCTAGATCTGCTGCTCACAGAGGCTCCTGGGGGCTTTGTCTGACAGCCAGTCAGGACCAAAGAGAAGGAGGCTTTGAGAAGGAGCTTACGGATGGGGAAAGTGAGGCCCAGAGGAAGGGTCCTGTAGACAGAGGCTTCCTGGTAGCATTTTAGTCTCGGGGGGCAACTGTGGGCTTTCCCTGGGGCACTGGTGAAGGAGGGGTTGGTTTGGATGCTGTCTGTTGACTGGGACGTGTGCAGGACAGATGGGGAGCTGAAGTCCCAAGGGAGGCGGGAAGACCTGACGCTGGTGAGCCCAGGGGTCTCCTCACATCCCCTCGCCTCTAACCCACCACCCCCCTCTCTGAGGCCCCCAACTGTAACCTCAGGTCTGAGGAGGAGAGGGGTGGAGGCAGAGAAACCAAGGCTGGGAGCTGCCCTGCCGCGGGAGGGTGGGAAGGCCCCCTGGGTGAGGACTTAAAAGTAAGGGAACATTTTTCCCAAGTCGGTGGGAGGAGGTCTCAAAGCCCATGGAGTCTGGAGCCATCTCCCCATCCCATCCCGTCCCGTGCGTGGAGCCCCCAGCGGGCAGAGCACGCTGTCTCATGGACTTTCATCCTCCCCTAAGGACCGGGGTGGGGCCGCTCCCCGTCGGCGCAGCCTCCCGTGATGGCTCCAGTCTTGGGGCGCAGCTGTTCCCCCGCCTCCCGCAAGGCATCATCCCCTGGGCTGGTCCGGGCGGGCGTCCTGCCGGGTCCCTGCGTCCCGGGGGGCCCTTCTGAGGCTGAGCCGCCCGCGCACTTTTGGGCCGCGCAGAGCGCCGGCTTCTGCCGGGTGCCTCCAGCCGGGCGCCCGCTGCGTGTGCCCCGGGTCGCGCGCTGGCCTCACCGGCTTCCTGGGCCGCCCCCTCCACTTGCTGTTTCAGGTCCTGCAAGCCTTTGCTGGCCATGGCGGGGGGTCTGCGAGGTTGTTAAGGGTATCCGCAGCGACGTTGGATCCTGCTAGCCGCGGCTACGACCGGAGTGTCAGCTCTGCCTTTTAAGGCGCCCCAGGGCCGGCCCGCCTCGCGGAGGGGGGGCGGGGGGCGCAGGGCGGGGCGGTTCCCAGCAGACAGGCTCGAGGGAGTGACGGGCGCTGCTCCAGATTCCGCCGGCCGGAGGCACATCCTGGCCTCAGGTGGGCCGCGGTGGGAGGGCGGCGGCCCCAACTAGGGTCCAGAGAAGGGCTAGGGGCTGTAGAGGGTTTGCATCTGGGGCCAAAGAGGGGCTGGGGGCAGGAGGGGGCCCACGCATACCTCCCCCCACCCCTTCGACGTGATCCCTCCCTCCTCGACCTTGAGGGTCCCCCAACTGGTGAGCGCTGGGTCTGCGCCAGGTCAGCATCTCAAGGCTGGAGTTGAAATTAATAACAGCAGCTCCTTTTTATTGAGCACCTACCTTGTGCCCCACGCCGCCCCAACACTTTACAGCCTCAGGTCCGATCTTTACAACAACCTCGTGAAATGGGTGTTCTTAATTAGTTGATAAGAAAAAACTGAGACACAGAGGGCGAGTTAGGTCTTACCCAAACTCACACGTTAGAGACTCGAATCCGCATCGGTGGGCAGTAAACCCTAGGGCCCTGACACCTCCCAGCCACCTGTCCCCACACACTCGGCCTGGACACTGTAGACTGGCCATCTGCCCAGCGGCCACTGGGACCTGACGGACACTGCGGTGGGTAGGGGAGGGTAAAATGCCCCCTGGAGAGGGCGATCACCACCCGCGCCCCTGGGGACGATGTGGCCCGAAGTGGATGGGAGGTAACGGAGAGGGCGGTCCGTGTGTGGCCGGCCCAGGCGAGAAGACTGCTGCCGGTCACCAAAGCCCGACGAGTTGGGCAGGAAGCACCCCAGGTCACACAGCGAAGAAGAGAGCCGTGGAGCCACAGGCCACTCAGATCGCCCAGGGATGGGGTGCGCTCGGGGCGTGGTGACGCCCCAGGGGCGCCGGGAGGGGGTTAGAGACCTGCATGCGAGTGGAGGAGACAGGGATCCCGGGGACAGCAAGACGACTGGCCAGGCACAACCCCCTGGCCCTCCGGGGCGCAGGTCGGCCTCCCAGCCCTCTCGAGCTCCGGAGGCACCCGCGCACCCCCTGGGCGTCTCCACCCCGCGCGGCCACGCTCTCGGATTCCCTGTCTGAGCCTGTCTCTGCACCTCTCTTGAGGTCTCCCCTATTCTGGAGCTCTGGGTGGCCCCTCCCCACCCAGGTCCACTCCTCTGGCCCCTGCCCTGCCTCCAATAGTTGGGGGCGGAGGGCGGGGAGAGGCGGGGGTACACACAACACACGCGCTGAATGGATTAATAGAGATAGGTCAACCCCGGGCAAGAGGAAGGAGCAGGAGCTGAAATCAGGTAGGGCGAGGGGACAGGGGACGCCGAGCGGCCTAACGAAGCTGCCGCCCCCCGCCCCTCCCGGCCGCGAGCCTGGTCCAGCCCGGAGCGCAAAGATGCTGCAGGGAGCCGCCTGAGGGCTGCCTCCGGGCCTCGCGGGAGCCTAGTCCGGCCCCGGGCCTGCCGGCCCTCCTGAAATCCCACCAGCGGCACCAGTCCCTTTAGCCAGGAAGGGCTGTCACACTGCTCCAGTGAGCTCATCGCTGGGCCGCGGATGCTGTTCGTGCCAGGCCCAGCAGGCAAGGAGCCAGCCAGAGAGGCAGCGGCCTCTGTGGGAGGGACAGGCGGGCCAAGCAGGTGAAAATGGAGACAGGCACTGGAGGCAGAGCTCCTGGGTTCCAAGACCCCCTGGGGCAAGTCCCTTCATTTCTCCCAGCCTCAATGTCCCCATCCTTGATGGGGGGAGACAATAACAGAATGTCCCCTGAAGTGTTATTGTGAGGATTAAATGGGCTGAAAGGTGCCCACACTGAGCCGAGGGCCCTTCACAGCAGGCGGGGTGCTTGGCCTCTCAGGTAAGCAGAGGGGTAAGGAGGGGCCTTCCTTCTCTAGGACAGGAAGATGAGATGCAGCCCCACCGGCAAGAGCACACGATAGGGGGTTTCAAGGCAAAGCACACAGCAGGTGCCCATGGGGTGGGGAAGGGGTGCCTGGGGCAGACTGTGATGTTTGCCCTTTGATCCCAAGAATGGGCCCTGAGTATGTGTCTAGGGTGGGGACAAGCAGCAGGGACGTTCCAGGCTCCTTCAGCAGAGGCCGGGGGCACTGGGAACCTCGTGAAGTGCTGTCCCCAGGGGCCGGGTCTAGGTGTCCCCTGTCCGCCCAGTGACCTGAGTGGGCCCGGCTCCTCCTTGCTCTCTCTTACAGCCCAGGGAGCTCAGGCACACCCAGGCCCCTGGTGAACTGCTCCTGGGGCATGCACAGGCCTGCTGATGTGCAGTGTCTGGGCCCCGGGGCGGGAACACCCCTGCCTGCCCTGGACCTCTTCCAGACCCTTCATGCCTCCCATGGTGCGGTGTACAGGGCTGGGGGACCAGCAGCCCCCTGCTCCTTTCTGCTTCGTCAGCAACAGATGCCACAGTCAGCGGGCTAGGATACAACCCATCTCAGCATGTGCTTGACTGGGTCCCCAGCCCCCTCGGCTGCCCTTGACCCCTGCTCCCCACTACAGAGGGAGGATGGGAAGGTGGTGTGGACAGAGCATTGTCTGGAGTCAGGTGTGCACTCTGGCTCCCACACCCCGGGCTGGAGGCCTTGGGCAAGTCACTTACATGCTCTGAGCCCAAACTGTCTGGGTGTCAAAGTGGAGGCAACCTGGTCTCTGCTCAGCCACCTCTGAACAAGACTCTGGGGTGTGATGCCAACAGCCCTTCGTGTAGGACACCGACCAGCCCAGGCCCTGGCTTGTTCTGAAACCTTGAGGGGGGTGGCATCTGCCATAAGCACACTGGAGCCCATGCAGTCCAGGTGGCCACAGCAGAACCTGGGAGTCAACTGGGAGGCTCTGGGGCCAGCCCACCTGCAGTCCCCAATCCGGGTGCTTCCTTGCCTTTGGGCAAGTTATTTAACCTCTCTGTTCCTCAGCTCATTCTCAGCGAAACTGGGATCATGCCAACTCCTCCTAGTAGGTTTGTTCAGAGGATTCAGTGAGGTAAAGAGTGCTGCACAGCATCTGTGGCCTGGGAGGAGCTCAGCAAATGTTCCTTTTCTGCTCTTTTCCTCTCAAGGTGGAGCCTTATGTGCCTGCATCTCAGCTGTTGTGATTTCTGATGATGCTTGACAGGCCTTCTCGGGGAAGGGAGGGAAAGCCCAGCTCCAGCCTGGAGGGGAGCTAGAGGCTGGGTGGGGCCGGGCGGGAGGGGCCCCGGGGGTCATGTCCTCTGCCGAGGAGGACGCCGAGAGTCCTCGCTGTGGGTTAGACTCCACATCTTTGAACATTACTGTCTGTTCCAAGGAGGGATGTTGGGTGTCGCTGTTCCCTGAAGGACACTGGCACCAAGGACACACGGCAGGAGGGCTCAGGAGGTCCCCCGCCCTCCTGCATCAGCGGGCTCCGTCCTGAGGGTGCGCTACAGCTCGAAACCTGGGGCCATATGGGTGTTGTGCTCCTGTGGACGGCGTGTCCCGGAGGGTGTCTGGAGTTGCCAAAAGCAGGGCTGTCTCCTCCATGTTAAAAGGCAGTGGTAGGGGGCTGCTGGGGACAGTGGGGGCGTCCCTGAAGGCAGAGTCTGCTCTGAGCAGATTCTAGAAACACCCAGGGTGTCCCTGGAGGGTACGTGGCCTGGCCCTGCTTCCCTGACCCCTCCACAGGCTGGCCCAGCTCCTGTTTCTGGGGGGGCCCAGGGGGCTTCATGAAGGAGGCCCATGGAGGAAGGAGGGGCTGGTAGGGCTGGGGCGGGGGCTTGAGTTTTATTTGGAATCATTAAAAAAAAAATTCACAGCAGCATCTGTGGGTCATAAGGAGTGGAGGGCAGGAGGGGAGGGAGGTGAAGACGGTGGCAGCAGCACAGGAGGACAGGCCTGTGGGCAGCCGGTTGTGGGCGTGGGGACCAGGGGCAGCCCACTGGTCACACTCTAGGGCCGGGCACTCCTCATGCGGGAGGGGATGCGTCCAAGGCAGGGGTGTTTCTCTGGCTCCACCGCTGATGACAGCCATCTAGTCTCCCCCACTCTTGGCCTGGGAGAGAGAGTGACCTTCACACGCAGCTCTGGGCCCCCACCCCTCAGTGGCCACCCTGTGTCGGGTGGGGACAGGAGTCATCCGTGCCCTCTGCCCTGAGGGGTCATTCGTGAGGGAGGCTCACACTCAGGCTCAGGGGGCTGCAGAGGGTCAAGGGGCTCCTGGGGGCTCTGGGAGTCCAGGAGGAAAGGAGGCTTGCCTGCGGACCCCCTGTGTTCCCCAGGAGCCCAGCTCCTACCTCCTCAGCCACCTCCTCTTCCGCTTTGGCTGCCTTGTCCTCCTGTGGGGGGGCAGGTTGCTCCAGGTCCTCCTGTTGGGGAGCAAAGGTGATGGGGGACCGTGCGGAGGGGGCAGGGCCCCCAGCTGCCCTGCACCCGGGGCCTCATCCACCCTGGCCTCAAAGATGAGCAGAGGCCCTCATCACCGTGCTGTGCGTGGAGGGCCAGGGGAGGGAGACGTGAGGACCAGACTGACCTGGGGGTGACAGAGCCACATGTAGGGACCCACGGCAGGGGCTCCGTCTGATGATGCCAAGTCCTTCTGGGGCTATGAAGTACCCCGGAGCCCAGCTTCACCTCCCCCCAGGCTGACGCCAAGTCTCTGGGCAGGCGTTGGTTGGGCCTCCTCGATGAGGAAGCCTGGTGGGGTTGGTGGGGTGGGTGGGGGTGGGCAGTGGCCTCTGAAGCCCTAGGCCTGACCCCACCTTCAGTGTCACTTAATCACATCACACACCCTTGTCCTGGGAGCCCCTAAACAGCCCTAGGAGGAGAGGTGTATCATCGCTGTTCACGTGAGAACCCTGAGGCCAGTGATCCAGCTCGAAGCAGTGGGGTTTTGAGAGATCAGCTCCGGCTTGCTCCAGGCTCATCCCTCTCCCCAGTAGCAGGTGTGCTTCCTTCTTCCCTTCTCCCTGCCTCCTGGATGGGCTCTGGGCTCCAGCTGGTCTGGCCAGGGCCAGCAGGGGTTATACAATCCTGTCCCACTTCCCATCTCCTCCTACCCCCCTGCATCCAGCTAGACACTTGTCTGAGGTGGGGGCCTGCTGTGGGGTGGTCATGAGCAGGGGCCAGACTGGGCGATCAGCTTGGACCCTGGTCTCACTGTCTACCTCTGGAGGGCCCTGCCACCAACATGCTACCACAGGGCCATCCTGCCCCTTGGTGGACTGCACCGTGGGGCATAAAAGGGGACCGAACTGTGTCAGCAGAGTTGGGGCGGGCTCTCCAGGCGAAGGGCAGGTGGCCTCCTGCCTGGCCCTGCTGCCCAGCGCAGAGGCGGGAGGCACGAGGCCAGCGGTGTGAGCGCTTGGACAGGCGGGTGGGGCTGCATTCTTCCACAGTTCAGGGAGGGGCTGCTGGGGCTGGTTTTTGGGTGTCACCAGGAAATGTTCTCCTGGGGTGGCTCTGGGCACTCCCCAGCCCTCCTAAAGGTCAGAGAGGAGTGCCGGGGCTCCCTCTCAGAGACCCAGGGCCAGCCTGGCCCTATCCCAGGGCCTCTTGTGCTGGGCGGTGGGGAAGGGAGGAAGGTATCTGCTGGGGGCACATGGGGGTCCTGCCCAGGAGCACTGATGATTGTGATGATGATGACGATGATAGTCACCTCCCTTTGTTGGGTATTCACCATGAGCTGGTGTAACTGCTTCACAAGGGCCCTTTGCCTGCATCATCGCACAGCCCAGGGAGAGGGATCCCCCACCCCACCCTTTACAGATGAAGAAATGGAGGCCCAGAGAGGTTGAGTAGCTTTCTAAGGTCACACAGCTCGGAAGAGGCAGGGGTGGGAACTGGGAGAGGGAGCAGCTGCCTGCTCCAAGGACACGGAGACACTGTACCAGCCCTAGAAGCAGATGCCTAATACTGCCCCAGAAGCAGGGGCAGGGAGGCCCCTACCCTTCCACCCACCCACTCCCCGAGCAGGGATTCTCAGTGCTGGCTGCCTCAGATGCCGCCCCGAGTGGGCTGTACCTTCCTTCCAGCCCCATATGAATCCCACTCTTTGGGAGCAGGTGCTCCCGCGCCGGGCCGCCCTGGGAACTGCAGAGCAGCCGTGGGACCTCGGGCACATTACTTAATCTCTCGGGGCCTTGTTTCCACACCCTATCTCATGAGACTTCGTGCCGATGAGCTGATTAAATGAGTTAAGAAGTGTAAACGGCTTCAGGCCGAGCCTGCTCCGTCGTGGGGGCTGGGGAGGCTCACCCGGCCGGCCTCCCCCCACCGCTCCTGGGCTCTGCCTCCGGAACGCGCACAGGCACGCCCACGTGCACACTCAGCGCACACGCACACGCTCACAAAGGCGGAGGTGGAGGGTGGGGTCGGAACCCTTCCTGCTGTTCTCTCACCAGGGGGCGCTGCTTCCCTGCTCCTCCGGGGAGGAGGCGCCAGACCACTGGGCCGGGGAGGGAGGCTGGGCCCCGGGAGGGCGGTGACGGGGCAGCTCTGGCCTGGTGTCTACTGCCTTGGGAGGCTGCCTGTCACCACGTGGGGCCCTGCCTTCACTAGCAAAGTGCGGTATCTCCTAAATGCTGAGCACCATCAAGAGGGCGTGGTCAGCAGCCCCCCGCCCCCCTCCCCCGCGGCCCGCCTTCCAGGGATGGGTGTGAGCATTCCAGGCGTTAATGGGTCTGCGAACACCCAGCACAGACCACGGCCCCTGAGTCTCCTCTTCCTTATGGTCAGCGGGGTGACGATGCCTCCTCCTCTCTCTGGGGCCCAGGGGCAAGGATGGAGCCGGGGCGGGGCCGGGTCTCACCTTGCGCACCACTCCAGCGGTGAGCGCCACGTTCTCCACCTCCTCCACGGCCTTGGTGGCCACGGTGTTGACGCTGGCGACCACGGCCCCGCTCACGGCGTTGGCCTGCTCCTTGGTCTTCTCAGCCACTGCGGGAGGACTCTGGCTGGCCTGGGTCCTAACCCTCCCCACCGGGGCAGAGCAGCCCCCTCCCAGGGCGCTGGAAATTCTGGCTCTGCGGAGAGCCTGGGCTGCAGCCTTTCCCACTCCAGGGGAGCTCTGGCGATGATGGGGGTGGCCGGCCCTGGGTCTAGCCTTAGGTTGTGGAGGGCCGTCCATGGACACCTTGGGACCCCAGTTAGGGTGCAGAAGTCCCTGGAGGTCCCAGCCCCCTTGTCCCCTGGTCCTGGGGCTCCTCACCTGAAGTCACGCTCTGCACAACACCCTCCTTGGTCTTGGTTCCTGGGGAGGAAGCGGAGGCGTCAGCCCGGGCGCTCCTCCCGGTGTTGGGAGGGGAGTGGTCAGGGGGCAGACATGCCACAGAACAGGTGGACCAGCTGTGGGGCCGGGAGCGGGTGAGGATGGTATCCGGGGGTCCCCGGCCCTTCAAAGGCCACTTCCTGCTGTGTCTGGAGGAAGTGGATGGATCGGAAGTGGACAGGACAGGATGGAGGATGAGAGGGGCCGGGCCTGAGGAAGGGTCTGGACCCCACGGGGTGTGGCCTGGACCTTGGAAGCAGCCGCAGGACAGGGCTCACGAGAGCTGAGTCATCCCCTCGGACTCCTCTGAGGAGCGAGCTGCGGGGCATGGAGCTGACAGGACGCTGAGTCTGGGTCTCTTCCCCCAGCCCCACCCCTTCCCTGAGTCAGGTGGGGACCTGTGGCCTGGCTGCCGAGCACCTGCCTGCTCAGCCCACAGCGGGTCCAGGCTCAGTGTGGCTTCTTCTCCGAGTCGAGGGGCCTGTGGGTGATGCCAGGGCAGGGGGACGCCGGGGTGCATTTGTGGGTGCACAGACAGGTGTGTCTGAGAGCTGAGTACCCCTTGCTGCCCTGCTCCAGAGTCCCCTGGGCCCTGAGGGGGACCCAAACAGATTCATGTGTGTGCAGGAGGCTACGTGTGTGTGCAGCACCACGGGGTGCTCCAGGGCCCGGAGACCCTTACTCAGCAGCCAGGTCCTCGACTCCTCCTAAAACCCCTCCCTGGGGCTGGGGGACGAGGTCAGACCCAAGGTAACCAGGTCCCCTGGGCTCCAGGCACCAAGCCGCCCCGCCCCGCCACGCCCAAACTCACCCACATACATGACACCCTCCTTGGTCTTCTCGGCCGCTTCCGTCACCCCCTGCTTGGTCTTCTCCACAGCGCCCACCACACCCTCCTTGGCGATGGAGAAGCCCTTCTTGAAGACGTCCATAGTGGTGGCGGGCAGGGACAGGAGGCTGGCTCTCCGGGCGTGCGGTGGCTGGAGCTGGCGTGAGTGCTGCTGCAGCCGCTATCCTTGCTGCTGCCTCTTATTGACGCCGATGAAATATTGATGATGCAGCGGCCGGCCTGCGGGAGCCCTGCCAGCCTGGAGGGGGGATGGTGGGGAGGGAGGGAGGGACGAGGCTGGCCCTCACCTTCCCCCAGGGTGGGGCAGTGGGGTCCAGGTCCCCTGGGCCCCTACTGGCTCAACCCTCCCCTCTTGCTCCCGCCCTCCCAGGAGGGGCTGTCGGAGTCTGGACACATCCTCATCCATCACTGCCTCTTTCACTCCCTGTCCTGCCCACCCACAGGGGTGGCCCCTGCTGGTGCTCTGGGGCCTGAGGCTGTTGTGTCTGTGTGCATCTGGGGCAGAGATGGGGCAGAGAGGGGAGTCGCCTTTGCTACCAGTGTCTGTGGTAGGGCAGGGGTCAGAGCCACGCGGGCCTGTCAGGCAATAGCGGCCAATCTCTCAGACTGGCCTGGGTGTCCAGCACCATGGATGCCCCCGTCGACGGCTCCCCCAAGGCCAGGGGGAGGAGCTGGGACAGAGGCGCACTGAGGGGTTCCCCATGCCCTGGCCTCTGGCGACACACCAGGTGGCCTCAGGACAGCTCCTTTCCCCTCTGAGCCTCCACCCCCTGCTGTCCCCACAGCCCAGTGGGGGGAGTGCTGAGCAGGCATGCAGTGGCCCGCTTCCTGACCACCAGCGTGGAGGGGCAGCAGGTTCCCTGAGGCCGCCCTGACCGCTTCCTGCAGCCCCACCTCAGCACTCCTGCTTAGTCCCATGGGGACGGGTTTGGTAGGGCCACCTCCCTGTGTCTCCCACACCCTCAGTGTCCCTGACCCTAGTCCTCTCAGGGCACAGGAACCGGGCTGTGTTGCTGGCTGCCTCTGTGGGGGCCGGACAGGGGGTGAGGGGGCCGGACGGGGCTCACCGGGTGGGCCGGCCCAGGCCACTTCCTCTCTTTGTTGTCCCCGTGCTTTCTTTTCCTTCTGAGACTTAACTTGAAGACAGCGTCACCGGCACTGGCAGTTTCTGGAGTCACTCAAAGAGGCGAGTCTGCTCCACTGCCAGCATGATCCTGATGCTGCTGCTGTGCCTGGGCGGGCCCCTTGGCTGGGGGCTGCTGGGGGCCTGTGCCCAGGCCCTCAGTAGCAGGTCCTCTGATTCACGCAGCCCCAGGCCACCTGGGGTCTGGAGGGCAGAGGCTGAGGACACCGGCAGGGACCCCACCGGACGGTAAGGAGGGCCTGGACCTTGGGGTAGGTCATGGTGCAGGACCTGACTCCTAGCTCAGGCTGAGCAGGGGTTCTCTGGGCCTCAGGTACCATCTGTGAAATGGGCTAATGTTATCGACCTGCTGGGCCAGCTATGAGGCTGCATCAAGTGCCAGGCCCCAGGCTCCTGGTCAAGGGGCCAGCCCCAGCCAGCCTAGCCTGGGCACCCCAGGGCCAAGCCTTAGGACCACAGGAAGTCCCTGCCTGACCTGTGGCAGGAAATGGACCTCCGGGTTGTACAGGGCGGGAGCACTTCTTGCCATCAACCACCTAGCATGGAGCGCTGAGGGGCTATGGTTCTGGAAGTTTCCAGCTGGCCTGGCAGTGGCTCCTGTTTTTCGAAGTGAGTCGGTTTTGTTGGCTGAGCCCTGGTGAGGCTGGTGCAGCCTAAGCCATTGAGGACATCTGTCCCCCAGCTCCTGGGGACTGGGTTTTGATCTGAGTGCCGGGGGACTGGGGCGGGGTCCTCAGCCTGGCCGTGAGAGCCAAGCAATGAGCAGGGACGGTGCCTTGCTCTGTCTCCAGAACAAAAAGGAGGCCGCGGCCTGAGCAACCTCTGCCTCAGTGTCCCTCTGGAAATGGGCGGGATTGTCTCACGACTGGACCAGGGTCTATTTTCCAGTGTTCCGTTTGTCCAGGGCCAGGAATCCTCCTGATGATGAAGTGCTGGGCCTGCGGGTGCCTCCGCAGGGTACCCCACGGGTACTGGACCTGGCATCTTGCCAAATGTGACCTCGGTTCATCCTCGCAACAGCTCTGGTTACAGAGGAGGAGCCTGAGGCTCAGAGAGGCTGAGCAACTGGTCCAAGGTCACACAGCTAAGGAGAGCTGGAACCAGGATCTGAGTCTGACTCCAGAACTCATGACCTGGTCCCTGGGCACTCAGAGGCAGCCCCAGCCCCTCCCCACTGCCCCACAGACTTGGTTGGGGCCACTGTGTGGATTTGGAGGGTAAGGGCGCCACCCTACACCCCCCGGCCCCCAGACTCTCCAATCTGTCTGAGACTCAGCATCTCACTGGCTTTCAGAGCCCCCTGCCTGGGATGGTTCTTCTGTAAGCTCTGACACTTCAAGGTGAATGCGTTTGTTGGACACTTTCCCGAAAGTGGATTTGACCAGAGAGAGAGCGGAGGGCAAGAGCAAGACAGGCTCAGCAGCCACCGTCCTCCCTACCCACACTCCCCGTCCCATGGCAGCCCCCCCACCTGACACAGTACCGGCTGCTGGCCCAGAGGCCCTGGGAGCTCGGGGAGGGGGGCTGGCCAAGGGGGGGGGGTGTGGGCCGAGAAGATGCACCCCGGAGAGACCCCACTCCTGCCCCACCCCCATTCTGCTCTGAGCTGGGAGATGTGGGTGACTTTTGGTGGGGTAGCTGGTCACCAAGCTCTGATTTCAGGACTGAGGACCAAGCCTTCTCTCTGCAAAGCCATTAGCTCCATGCCCCCATCTCTGGGCTGCCTGGCTTTCTTCCATGAAAGGGAGGATGAGGGCCCAGGTGGATGGGAAGGAGGGAGGGAGGATGGGAAGGATGGGAGCAGACCCTCTTGGCTGTGGGAGGGATGGCCTTCCCTACCCCAGGGACGGTGGGCCTGTGGACTCCTCAGGGGCTGCCCCTCGGGGGCCGCCCAGCCATTCTCCGGTGGTCCCAGTGTGTGCAGAGTGTGTGCAGGTGTGCGCACAAGGGCCCTGGCCCAGGAATGCCCCGGCAGGCATCCCAAGCCCTGGCCCCAGGGGCTCCAGGGGGGCCCTGCCACCTGCTGGGTCTCCTTCCCACAACCCACAAGCTGTGGTCCCCAGTGGCCAGTTGTCAACGCCTCCGGAGGGGCCGGTGAGAAAGGGAGGAAGCGCTGCGTGGCTTCCTGGGCTGATTGCTTCCGGAGCTCCTGGGAAAAGCGAGGCGGAAATGCTGCCGGCCTCCCCTGCAACGGGGGAGGGAGAGGGGGACAGGCGCTCGGCGCTCAGGCAGGGTGACACCATCAGTGACAGGCCCAGCAGACTCTGCGGCCAGGCCTCCTGCCCTGCATTTGCCCCTCGCCCCCGCTCCCAGGGCCACAGGGCCACGCAGGCCCAGATGAGGCCCTTTGCAAGGAGAAGAGGGAACAGAACAACTTGGTGCCCGATGTCAGGTCCTGGCGTGGGGGAGGGGCATGGTTGAGTGCTTCCCAGGTCCCCTGGGACCTGGTGGGGGCAGGGCCCCATGGGCCAGCAGTGTGTGTGTGTGTGGGGGGTTCTTCCTTGCTCCCTGGCTTCAGTGGGGGTGGGGGTGGGGGTGGGGATGTGGCCTCCTCAAACCCAAGACCTGCTTCCCGGGCAGGACTGAGCCCCAGGCAAGGTGCCCCATCTCCGCATTGTTGCGACAGCAACACTGTTCTCTCCACTTTACATGCTGTGAGACTCAGAGGGGTGGGAACGCCACCCAGGGCCACACAGCTCCTAAGTGACGGATCAGAGGCCGGGCCCACATCTGCAGGGCTGCGGATCCCAGACGTCCTCTGTCCTGTCTCCCCCAAGAGGGCAGGCGTGTAGGCGATGCTCTTCCAGACACCCAGCTGGCCCCGGCCACCAGCATCAGCTTCTCCTGACCCACCCACAAGGAGCAGTTTGTGGTTTTTGCAGCTGGGAGCTCAAGGCCCAGAGGAGTCATGCATATCGCTGAAGGTCACACAGGAGCAGGGCGGAGCCCAGGCCACCGGTCTCTGGGCCATGGCTGCATCTCCTGCACCTGTTCCTGCTCTCTGAGGCACAGGTCCTGGGCATGAATAGGGAGGAGCCCCACTGGTTGTAGTCACGCTCAGGGAACCCGGGCTCTGGGCTGGACACCGAGTAGACCTCCGGCTCCTCTGCCAAGGCTGCTTCTGGCTCAGAGACAAAGCTTTGCAAGATTCTCCCCTTGAGTGCTCACACTCAGGGCTGCATTCAGGGCCTAGAAAGCATGGATGCTGGGACCACGCCCTTCTCCCCTAGGAAGACGTAAGGGGCTGTCCGAGGGGGGTTTTCCTGGCTGGTTAAGAGGCACTTAGGAGTCCCAAGGGTGGCGGTAACTCAGGATGCTCGGCTAACAGCCTTTCCCCTCCCTCTGCCCCGGGGAGGGCCCCAGAGCGGGAATCTTCTCCACATTTCCAGGAGTGGGGGAAGGGCCTTGTTCAAGGTCACCCTGAGCCCAGGGAGCAGGAGGGGAGAGGAGAGCCCGGCTGTCCAGCTTCCACCTAGAAGCTCCAAGGGGTGGGCCGATTCCTTCCTGCCTGGGGTGGGACATCAGGTCTGGGCCATGTCAGAGGCCCAGGGCTGGCCCAAACCAAGCTGGAGGACCCCTGCACTCATTTCTAGGCCGGCAACTGCCCCTCTGCGGACCACTGGAAGATGAGGGCACCCAGCACCGCTTCCCAAGTGAGGGCGCAGAGAGGGAGGAGGCCTGAGACCAGGAGGCAGGCAGAACAATGGGGCGCTTGAGTGAGCTGGGCTGGGGGCGCCGAGGGCCAGCAAGAAGCTGCCAAGAGCTGGAGGAAACCAAAGCAAAGGTCAGGAATGTTCCCAGGGCTTCTGGGCCAGCAGCCTGTACTGTGCCAAGGGGACGGGGCTGCCAAGGGAAAGGGAGCGTGGGCAGGGAGAATAGTGGCTGCCGGAGCCAGGAGTTCGGTTGGGCAGGTCAGGAGAGAAAGTTCCTGGGTAGGAAGGGTGGGCAGCACCGCTTCCGGCTCCAGGAGCTCGAGATGGAAAGTCCTGGTCACTCCCTGGCAGGCTGGACCAGACCCGGTGCGCAGGCCGGCTGGGCCCTCCACAGTGGATCAGAGGCTGTGCGAGGAGTGGAGCTTTGTCTGGAGCCCGTGTTTCTCAACCTCGGCACGACTGGCTGATTCTTCAGGGGGAGGGGGCTGTCCCGGGCTTTGTAGGGTGTTGGCAGCACGGCCTCCACCCACTAGATGCCAGGAGCACCCCCACACTCCAAGTCTCCAGGGCACATCCCCTCTCCCCTACTGAGAACCACTGGTTTCGAGAAATACTTTTCCCTAGAATTGAGCCCGTGTTCCAGGAATTTCCAGGGGGCCCAGGGCCGGGGCGGGGTGGGGCACATTTTCCAGTACTTGGAACAGTCTGTGCAGGCCGCCGTCTCCCCCAGGGCGCCTGAGCTGTGGGCCCAGCACATTTCACAGACCACCATGAACATTCTTTGCTTCTGTCCCGATTTTGGTGTGCCTCCTTTTTGCCATTTACTAGTCCTTTGGGACTCCTGGGTCCCTTGCTGGGCTCTGCCCCACGCTGGCTGGTTTCTCAGATCCTGAGCCAGTACCCTACTGTTTTCATTACTTGGCTTTAGAGTCGGTCTTGAGAGCTGGATGAGAAACTCCTTCCTCGGTGTTCCAAATGTGTTCCAAAATGTTTTTACCTGTTCACCTGCATTTTCTCTTCCAGGTGGAAATTATTTTATTTTGAAGTTTCATTTTTATTCGTTACACAGTCCCATAGGCAGAGCTCAGAAGACTGTGGTCGGTGGGCCAAATGTGGCCCCCGACCTGTTTTTGTAAATAAAGTTTTATTGGAACACGGTCTGGCTCATTTATTTACATATCGTCAGGGACCGCTTTCCTGCTACAACGGCAGAGTCGAGTAAATGCCACAGAGTCCATATGTCCTGGAAAACCTAAAATCAGGGCCAGCTTCATGGGCATGTGACCTGAGTGGTGTCACAGGGCCCGTCACTCAGAAGGGCCCTGCACTTGGCTTAATCTCCACTCTTGCCCTATATTTTCATTTGCACTGAGCCCCACAAATTATGTAGTTGGTCTTGTATAAAGTATTTTCTATGTGTCTGTCCCTTTACAGAAAAACTTTGCTAACCCCTGGGTTAGAGTGGACCAGTTCTGTAAGGTTTGTTGAGACAATCAGAAGCCCCAGCCCCCTCTGGTCCCCAAAGGCAATGACTTTCAACTCTCGGTGATGCTTTGGGCATTTACCTCTGTATCTCTGGATAACATGCTTCTATTGCTACTTCTTGGGAAGCAGCTTTGTCTATGACTCAGCTGTCATTCCAACACGCACGCACACACATGCCCTTCCCATCCATCATTCTCCCACATTGTCATTTTGAGTACATTCATGCGACTATGCTTGCTACTTAGAGTTGAGACTTGAAAAAAACTATAAATCCTTTTCTTCCCCCTGTGCACTTTTGGTTTTCCCCGGAGTAAACAATTAGCTTCATCTTTGTTTCCTTTTTCTTAGTTTTCTGTCTTTGTCACCACTCAATTCCGGACTCTCGGCCCATGGTCCACATCTGCTCTCAACTCTCATTTGCCTCAGGTGTTTGACCACCTGTGTCTTCTTGGAGATGCCTCTCTGAGCTTCCAGCTGTCCTGCGGTCTGGACTGTGGCCCCTCACCCACTGCCCATCGTTGTCCTGGGGTCTCTCTTCACCATCCTCCTGGGGCCTCCCTTCACCTCCCCTCCCAGCTGGAACTCCCGTTTCCTGATGCCACACTGTCCTCTTTCTTGGTGTCCTCTCTTGTGCTGGGGAGCACTGCTGGCCCAGTGGTACTCAGCCCTGGGCTGTGCCTTAGAATGACTCACAGAGCCTTAAGTGCTGATGTCCAGGCCCCACCCCAGAAGCTCTCCTTTAACTGGCCTGGGGTGGGGCCCAGAGGCTCCTATTTTTAAAGTGCCGTGGGATGGTTTTGATGTGAAGATTTGAGGGCAAGATTGCCAAGTCTGCTCCAGCAGCTCCCTGCCGAGGGGTTCTGGGCAGGGAAAGGTTTTGAAAGCTGGCTTGTTGAAAATGTCTTTATTCTGCTCTCCCTACATGGGCTGGTAGTTAGGCTGGGTGTCAGATTCTCAATTGGAAATAATTTTCCTTCAGTATCTTGAAGGCACTTCTCCACTGTGTTATAGTTTCTAGTATCGCTATCGAGAGTGGTGTGTGGCTTGATTTTTCTCTCTGGAAAGTGTAAGGTCATCTTCATTCCTGGAGTTCTAAAATTTCATGACAATGCGCTTTAAGCTGAGTTTATTTTCTTCATCTTGTGGATAATTGGTGGGCCCTTTGAATTTGAAAATTCAAGTCCACTTCTGGAATATTGGTTTGATTTTCTCTATCAATGACTTCCTCCCTCTGTTCTCTTCTGGAACTCCTATTGTTTGGATGTTGAATTTCCAACACTGGTCCTCTATTTTTCTCAGCTTTTCTCTCCTATTTTCCATCTCTCTCTTTGCTCTTTTCTTTCTTTCTTTTTTTTTTTTTGAGAAGATTAGCCCTGAGCTAACTACTGCCAATCCTCCTCTTTTTGCTGGGGAAGACTGGCCCAGGGCTAACATCCGTGCCCATCTTCCTCTACTTGATATGTGGGACGCCTACCACAGCATGGCTTGCCAAGCAGTGCCATGTCCGGACCCGGGATCCGAACTGCTAAACCCCGGGCCACCGAGAAGCAGAACGTGAGAACTTAACCGCTGCGCCACCAGGCCGGCCCCTCTCTTTGCTCTTCTTAAGAGAGGAGTTTCTTTAACTTTACCCTCTAACATTTCTCTTAAATTTCTTTTGCATTTCTACCATTATATTTTTAATTTCCAAGGTGTTTTTGTTGTCATTCTCTGAATGTCCTTCTCCCATTTTTTTAAATCGTTTCCTGTTCTTTGTTTCTTGGATGCAGTAACTTCTCTTATCAATCTGGGGCTATTGATGCAAATTTGGGAGACGTTCTCTTCTCCCTGCACAATCTTGGTTTTCTCCAAGTTGACTTTCTTCCATCCGCATCTTGACCTCCCTCTTTTGTAATAAAGATTCTCCTCAGGGTGCATCCTTGGATGTCTCCCACTCAAGGCTGGAGACTGAGAAGCTGTCTAGAAGCCGGTGTCTGGATGGGGCTTTCTGACCTGTTTGTCATAGGCGGCTCCCTGGGCTGTTTCACTGGGGGAAGCCCTGCTGACTGTGTCTTCAGGTTGTTGCTCCTGAGTGGGGTCATTGTCCTGATAAGCTTTTTCAGTCTGCTGTTGTGAGGGTAAAGCCTGGCTGCCAGGCTTCCGGGGGCCAAGTGGGAAAGCAGACTCGGGGGCTGAGCCCTGAAAACAGATATGGTCACTCCATCCCCCTCAGTGCTTGCCTCTGTCCTCCCCAGCAGTATCCCTGTGTGATGGGGTCTGATGGCCCCCAGGATAGAGATCCGCTCCAGAGAATAAAATCCCAGCCCCGAGAGCCACTCCATCTCCAAGACCCCCGAGACTGCCTCCTGATATATACTCACGCATGCGGCCATCTCTCTCCATCTCCACCGTCGTCATCCAGGACAAGCTGCCAGCATCTCCCACCCAGACCCCTGCCACCTAGCTCTTGCCCCTCCTGTCCCATCTGCCCCCAGGAACCAGGGTGGCTCTTTCCTGTCACTTCCCTGCTTAACCGCCCCCCACCATGATTTCCCATGCCTCCAGGTCACAGTCCAGCTCCTCAGCTGGCACTCGAGGCTTCTCTTTACCTCTGCAGCCCCTTTCCCACCCCCACCCTCTGCACCTCAGTGGGGCCACACACCTTGGTCACAGCTCCTGGTGCCAAGTTGTCACCTCCTCCTGCAGGTCTCCCGGGGCCTAAGCTGCCACACCAGCCCAGATCACCTGCTCTCCCAGGGTCCCTGAAGGGCAGGTTGGTCCCTCCGTGTCTGACTGAGTGCTGCTGGCCTTGGGCGCAGCGCGGCGCCCCCAGGACGTGCCGAGCTGGCCAAGCGTGGAGGTCGCTGCACTTGCAGCTCTGGGGAGCTCTGCTCTGGGCACTGACTGCCAGAGGAAGGGCCCTCCCACCCCTTCTCCTGTGCCCCTCCAGCCCGCCACCTGTCGTGACTGGGGCGCCATCCCCATGAACACTTCCCGCTCCGGGACCCGCGGCACACCCCGCAGAAGGTCACGGATGGAGGAGCTGCCTCCCAGGCGTTCAGGATGCTGAGTGCAAACCACCCAGCAGGACCGGTGTGGGTGGCCCTTCCCAGAGAAGGGACTGCCTGGCCTGGCTGCCGTCCCCAACTGTCTGAATGGCCATGATGGGGCACGGCCAGGAGGTGGGTGCCCTCCCTGCGGCAGGCCCTCTGCTGAGGAGAGATGTGAGTGGTCCTGGGGCAGGGCAGTGGCATTCACTGAGCACGTGTCAGGGCCAGGCGCTCGATACTCCTCCGCCATGGAGAAGGGTATTAGGATCCCCATCGGATGAACAGGGAAGCAGAATTCCCTAAGTGCCCGCTCAAGGTCACGCAGCCAGAAATTGCGAAGGATTCGAACCCAGGACTCCCCAGCCCAGCAGCCCCATGTGGCCTCCCTGGCACCAGGAGAGCCAGTGATTTGGCTGTGTGATGTTGGGGGTGCTGCTCAGCCTCTCTGTGTCCCCCTCCCCCCCAGCAGGGGCCGGTTTCTGGAAGGCAGTGGTGCGGGTGTCTTGCAGGTGGGGTTTGTGGAGATTTGCTGTGGCGTCAGGGATGAATAATGCAGAACACTCCCTCTCAGGCTAATGGATTCCAGAATCCACTGCACTGGGTGGGGCAGGTGCTCTGCACTAGCACCTGCTGTTGACCTCAAGGAAGGGTCGTGGGGGCCTGGGCGTGGCTCAGCAGCCCTGTCCTCTGGTTCGTTTTTTCCAGTAACTGGTGCTCCTACCAGAAGTCCAGGCTGGTCACCTTCATAGCCGCTTGCAAAACAGAGAAATTCCTTGTCCACTCACAGCAGCCATGTCCACAGGGGGCTCCAGACTGCCAGAGAGTCAAAGTCATGTGAGTGGGGGCAGGGCAGGGCGGGGCGGGCCCTTTGGCGACCCTGAGCTGGCTCACCCTGGAGTCGCTGACCTGGCTCTCTCCCCCCAGGTACCGTGTGGCCCACAAGCCACTGTACCAGGTCAAGCAGAAGGTGCTGGTCTCCACGGAATGGAGGTGCTGCCCGGGCTTTGCAGGTCCCGACTGCCAGCACCACGGTAGGGCTCCCTGTGGCCCCCTCCCCCTTCAACCGCTGACCCCAGAGGTCATGCAGCTCCTCTGACCTCCGGGGTCAACATCTGATGCCTCCTCTCTGCAGATCCCACTGGGGTCCCTGAGCCTGCAGACCCAGGTGACGGCCTCCAGGAGCCTTGGGACAACCCACACGGCTTGGAACCTGGTATGTTGCTTTCCTGGAAGATGCAGGTAGAGCAGAAAGAACCCACGTGCCCAGGCCCATTCTCCTCCCGTAGGGCAGTGCCATCTCTGGAAACTTTACCCCTCAAATCAGCAGGGTCCCCTCGGTAGCCCTGTGTCACCCTACCCCCGCCCTCCTGCCCCAGGCCAGTTCACAGGGTCCTCAGTCACCTGGCTGCTGCCTAAGCACATACACCTTTTCCCTTGACCCCACTTTCTGGAAGGATGGTTTCAGACGGCACCTCCTTTGCCCTTTGAACTGCACAAGCTCTCATGGCCTGGAAGAAGCCTTCCCACACCTCCCTTGACTAGGGCCAGGAAGTCATGCTGTCCCTGCTGTTGGGTCAGCACAGGAGAAGCGCCAAGAGACCCCATGTGTGGAGCATTTCAAGGCTGGGCCGAGGCTGGGCTGGTGAATGAGTTTCATCACTTGGTAAATCCTGTCCATCGACAAGGGCTGCCTAGAACCATGCTGAGAGGCCAGTCCCTGGAAAGTGTGCTCTGATCGATTAGTCATGTCTGCTGTGGGTGCTGGGGGCAGGGCGGGCTCCCTTGCCATGTATTTGCCCTCTTGGGGCTAAGGGCTCCTCAGCTCCTGCTCAGAGGACCTCAGCACACATCTCCTTGCCCCCAACCCCGGAATCTCCCTCTCTGTATCTCGCCGTCTGCCCAGCCCAGAGGAGTGAGCCCATGACACTCATCTTTCTGTGTCTTCTAGGCGCCCCTGCAGCAGAGATCAGCAACACCGTGGTGGAGCAGGAAGGCCTGCTGGGAGATCTCCAGAATGACATTCACGAGGTGGCGGACAGCCTTCCCGGCCCGTGGAAGTCCCTGGAAGGCAACTTCACAGCAGCAACGACTGAGGCCAATCAAACGGAGCTTGGTGAGTGGCAGACTCAGGGGCTGAGCAAGAGCCTGTTCACATCCCCGGGGATGAGTGAGAGGGGAGGCAGGAAGGCCCCGACCTCAGAGGACCCCCTCTGGTCCCTGCCTCGGGAGGGGTGGCTGCTCTTGCAAGGCAAGTGTAAAAATGCGTGTCTGTTGCAGAGTTTTCTGGCACATCCCTGGAGCACGTGCTGCCGTCTCACATTGATGCCTTCCTGCAAGTGCATTTCAGCCCCGTCTGGAGGAGCCTGAACCAAAGCCTGCACAGCCTGTCCCAGGCCATCAGAAACCTATCTCTGGATGTGGAGGCCAACCGCCAGGCCATCAAGAGGGTCCAGGAGAGTACTGTGGCCAGGGCTGACTTCCAAGAGCTTGGGGCCAAATTTGAGACCAAGGTCCAGGAGAATGCCCAGAGGGTGGCCCAGCTGCGGCTGGACGTGGAGGACCGCCTGCACGCCCAGCACCAGTCCCTGCAGCACTCCCTCTCCGAGGTCCAGGCCGATGTGGACACTAAGGTGAAGAGGCTCCTTAAGGCCCAGGAGTCCCTGGGGGCCAATGGCAGCCTGGTGGTGGCAGCTGCAGGGGCAGGGGCGAGGCCGGAGCCCGAGAGCCTGCAGGCCAGGCTGGGCCAGCTGCAGAGAAACCTCTCGGCGCTGCACGTGGCAGCTGGCCGCAGGGAAGAGGAGTTACAAAGCACCCTGGCCGATATGCGGGCGACGCTGGCCCGGCACGTGGATGAGATCAAGGAGCTGTACTCGGAATCTGACGAGACCTTCGATCAGATCAGCAAGGTGGAGCGGCAGGTGGAGGAGCTGCAGGTGAACCACACGGCGCTGCGCGAGCTGCGCGTGATCCTGATGGAGAGGTCGCTGATCATGGAGGAGAACAAGGAGGAGATGGAGCGGCAGCTCCTGGAGCTCAACCTCACCCTCCAGCACCTGCAGGGCGGCCACGCCGACCTCATCAAGTACGTCCGCGACTGCAACTGCCAGAAGCTCTCCTTCGACCTGGACGTGATCCGGGAAGGCCAGAGGGACACCACGCGGGCCCTGGAGGAGACGCAGGTGAGCCTGGACGAGCGGCGGCGGCTGGACGGCTCGTCGCTGGAGGCGCTGAGCAGCGCGGTGGCGGCCGTGTCGCGGGCGCAGGAGGAGCAGCGGGAGGAGGCGGAGCGCGCGCGGGCGGACGCGGCGCGGCTGCGGAGCCAGCTGCGGACGCTGGGCGGCGAGGCGAGCGCGCTGCGGGCCGCCGAGGCGGAGATGCGCGGCGAGCTGGGCCGGCTGCACGGCTCCTTCGCGGCCCTGCTGGAGGACGCGCTGCGGCACGAGGCCGTGCTGGCCGCCCTCTTCGGGGAGGAGGCGCTGGAGGAGATGTCCGAGGCGGCGCCGGGGCCGCTGCCGCTGAGCTACGAGCAGATCCGCGTCGGCCTGCGGGACGCCGCCAGCGGGCTGCAGGAGCAGGCGCTCGGCTGGGACGCGCTGGCCGCGCGGGTGGACGCCCTGGAGCAGGCGGCGCGGCGCCCGGAGCCCGGCGAGGCCGCGGAGCTGGCGCGGGAGCTGCAGCGTCTGGGCCCGGCGGTGCAGCAGGCGGCGCGCTGCTGCGAGGCCTCGTGGGCCGCCTCCCTCAACGGCTCGGTGGAGGGCCTGCAGGGCGCGCTGGCCGCCACGGAGCGCGGCTTGGAGCAGCACGAGCGGCTCTTCCACAGCCTCTTCGGGAACTTCCAGGGCCTTGTGGCGGCCAACGTCAGCCTGGACCTGGGGAAGCTGCAGGCCATGCTGAGCAGGAAAGAGAAGAAGCAGCGGAAAGGTCTGGAAGCTTCCCGGAGGAGGGACAGGAAGCAAGCGGATGCGCAGGTCCAAGGGCCAGTGCTCTGGGAGGCAGGTGAGTTCCTGGGCACAGGGGGACCAGGCCAGGCAAGGACGGGGCTGTCTGCAAGCAGCTCTTCTACCCCAGAGGGGCCGCAGGGGAAAGAAAACAGGATGCACCAGTCAGGACTCCTCAGGGCCGGCCTGGCCCTTGACCCACCTTCCTTCCATTCGGGGCCAGGGGCCTCTTAAGCAAACTGGAGTGTAAGGAGATAGAAGTCACAAGAACCAACGGTCAGAAGCAGGCAACGCCCCTCCATGTAAGCGGCCGAGGCTCCCACGTGCGCCCCGGCTGCCTGCCACTCTAACCAGAGAGCCAGAGGGGCTTGCTTCCCTGGCGTCCATGCCACACCTGCAAATGGCTCCATCTCCCCTCTTCCCGGCACCCCACTTCACCCCCGCATGTGTCTTTAACCAGCTTCCCCTATGTGCAAGTGAGTGTGTGCAGAGGGGCTGGTGTCACCTGCCATGGGTGGGCAGCACCCTCCAAGAGGTGAATACAGGGCAAGGCCTTGGGCCCTGATGGGCGCTCATTCTCTCTGCTAACATAGTTGACCCGTCTTGCTGCTCCGTACCTGGTCCCCGGCGATACCCTTCTTGGGCTTTGCCATGTTGGATCGTGACAACAGCTCCACGATGCATTGTCACTGCCACCTCATCTGAAACAGAGGCTCAGTCAGGGCAGGTGTCCTGCTCGCACAGCTAGTGAGCGGCACAGAGGACCTCAACCCGGTGAGGCTGTCTTCAGGGTGCTGGCTCTTCCCTTGGGAAGGGCCCTCGATGCCTGGTCTCTGCAGAGCCCTGGGGACCGCGCCTGGGAAGCTGGCTCTGAGGCTGAAGCGATGTGCAGCCAGCCTTCCCGTGCTCTCCCTGAGTGTGGCCCTGCAGAGGGGACCCCTAGGCTCTTGCTTCCACGGACTCTCCCTGCCAGGGATGCTGGCCACCTCCTCGCCCGGCCGTGGGGCTAAGTACAAGGTCACCATCTGGGCCATCTGGACCCTGGTGTACCCACATAGGAGGGAAGTCTGTGCCTTGCTGAAGCTTCCTCCCTGGCCTGCGCCACTCCCGCGGAGCCTCCATTATGGCCCCGAGGCCTGTGCCTCCCGGGGCAGTGGACAGAGCCCGCTCTCTTGCACCACTCGCTTGTCTCAGTTTCTCCATCTGCCCGGGGGCGAACCTGCATGGATGGCTGCTGGGAAGACGAATACACTTTGGGAGAAACCAGTGACTGTTTTCAGGGCGGGGGCTGGGGCTGTGTCCACTGACACTGACTCTGCGTTCTTCTTTCCTCGTGTGAGTGGGGCAAGGCCCCCTGCTGGATGGTTTAGGTCCCTGAGTTTACCACTGCAATACTTTGTTGTCTCAAAGAAATTTTTTCCTTAAAATTACAAATAAAAATTCCCCTTTATTTGTCTTGCAGAAAGGCCTCAGGGCTTGAATTCGTGCCCTGCAGGGAAGCCCACTCTCAGTCTGCCTGCTGGCAAAGCTGAGGCACAACACTTCGCCTCCTGGGGGTGGGGGGCCCCCCGCTGCCTGGCAGGGTGGGGGGTCTCCTTGTAAAGCCGAACCCCAAGCTGCAGGCAGGCGTGCCCTCGGTGCAGGCGGGGCCGGCCGCCAGCAGAGGGCGCCCGAGGCCGGCCTTCCTTCGGCAGGGCGAGCGCGCCCCCTCCTGGGTGCTTGGGGAACTGCAGAGCCAGCAGCGCACCTTCCTTGTGACAGTCTCAAACAAACGAGAAAGCTCTTATGAAGTAATTCTCAGAAAACCTTCCAGAACTAGAGAAGACCAAAACTTTGTCATTCACAAGGCTATTGCTGGACCGAGAGCCAAAGCGCTGCGGCTCTGGTTCTGGGGGCTAAGTCACTAATTGCTATGCAGATGGTCCCTCCTGTACACCTTTGTTTCATCCCCTGAGAACTGGGGAGCTTGGTCTCAAGGCCAGTGTCATGGCTGGAACCCCGGTGGGACTCACCCTCCCTGTCCCATCTCCTGGCCCTGGCCGCTCGGTTGGCTCCTTCCTTGCTGTACCTTCGCCCTCCACACATGGCGCGCTTCCTATGGCTCCATGTCTGCGTGTGGGCTGCTGGGCCCCACGCCTGTGTTCCCTCCGTCTTACTTACCCTCCAAAGGCTGGCCGAGGTGCTTCTCCAAGTGGGAAGAGCACCAGGAATCAGGAGCTCCGAGGACAGCCCCCAGTTTGGTAATTAGTTGTCATCTGGAGCAAGCTTTCCCTGTCTGGGCCTCAGTTTCCCCATCTGTCATCCCAGGGCTCTGTGCAACATTTTGAAAACATTTAAGATGACCAGCTTGAAAGGATTTTTCTTCCCCGGTCCCACCCCAGTCCCACCTGCTCTTTCCTTCTCTCTCGTAAGGTCCTGTGCCCAGCATCCCGGAGGAACCACCCTGCACCATTCCTTCCTTCTCTCACCAGTGTTAGCATTGTGACCTTGAGGATAGGTAGTACTTTCTGTTTCCCCGGGACATCTCAAGATCCCTAGCAGGTGGCAGCAGTCCGGGAGTCAGAGACCTGGGTTCCAGTCCAGCCTGCCACTTAATAGCCACGCAGCCTTGGACAACCAGTGAAGCACTCAAGACTCAAAGGTTCCTCAGTCAGGGGTGCTTCTCTCTCAAGGATGCTGGTAGGAAAAGGGATCGAATCAGAAAGAGCTTTAAAATGTACACCAGTAGGGACCAAAGACTTGTATTTTCCCTTCTCTCAGTTAGTGAAATACTCAGACTTGGCCGATCCCTCCCACCCCCCTGGGATACGTGGCCCCTGGGAAGATCTAGGTTACCCGGAAATCGTGACCTATTTCTGTTAGTTGGGTGAGGAACTGAGTCACTGAGCCCCTTCCCCCTGTGTTCCAGGCTCCCCTGTGGCCTTCTACGCCAGCCTTTCAGAAGGGACTGCTGCCCTGCAGACAGTGAAGTTCAACGCCACTTACGTCAACACTGGCGGCAGCTACTTCGCTGAACACGGCTACTTCCGGGCCCCTGAGCGTGGGGTCTACTTCTTTGCTGTGAGCATTGAATTTGGCCCAGGGCCGGGCGCCGGGCAGCTGGTGTTTGGAGGCCACCATCGGACCCCTGTCTGTACCAGCGCGGAGCAGAGGGACGGGGGCACGGCCACAACCTTCGCTATGGCCGAGCTGCAGAAGGGTGAGAGAGTGTGGTTCGAGGTAACCCAAGGATCGGTAATAAAGAGAAGCCCGTCGGGCACTGCATTTGGGGGTTTCCTGATGTTCAAGACCTGAACTCTCGGCACAGCTCTGACCAGACATCGTGGACTCGCCCGGCTCTCCCGGGCCTGGGACTCTGGCCAGGGTCGGTCTGGAGCCCATGCAGTTGGTCCAGCTTGTCCCTGGAAATCTTGTGCAAAGACAGTGTGGTATAGGTGGCCTCCCTCTAGACGCACTGGGTTGGCTACTTCTCAATGATGAGCAGGACCGGGATGCTCCTCTCTGGGCAGGACCTGGCCCCGGGAGGCGTGAACGTCGGCTTCGCGCCTCCTGAGGCAGACGGCTGGGATTCCAGCTCTCTGCCCCACCGTCTTCCACAGCTTCTTTGCTGTTTTGCTCCTCTTGTGGTTGGGAACATCCGTACACTTTAAACCTTTCTCCCTAATCTTACACTCGAAAACCATTTTTTTTCCTGGGAGGCATATGTTTAAAATGGATTTTGGATGATATTGGAAACCAGTCTGCACTCACTACGGGGCAGTGGGAGAAAAGCAGCCTGTTCGCTCTCTGTCGGTCGGAAATGGACATAAAGGCCTGGCTGAGGTAACCAAGGGAAGCACCATTAGTGCCTTTGGCTTAGTTTTAGTCCTCCCTTGAATTTACCTGTAATTTTCATTTCACTTCTTTTTCTTCTTGCCAAGAAATGCCAAACACCAACTAAAACGTATGCAGCCTTCATCTTGTTTCCTTCCTCCCGTGGCTCGTGACCACCCTAATTCTCGTTAGCATCTCTGACCAGGAAGGGAGCTGAGGGGGGCAGGGAGGCACGACTGTCAACATCCCCCTCAGGTATCAACTTTGGAATAAAGTGATGCCCTTCGAACCTCTGTCTGGTTTACTCATGGAGAGCAGAAAGATTTGGTGAAGTAGGTAGAAATATGGGACAAAATGAAACTATTTGGGATAAATGTGACTTTCATGATTTCAGGCCATATTTGACTTCACAGTTTTACTTACTTCTACATACAACACGTGGAGGCCTTCACAGTGGGCAGTGACATGACTATCTGACCAGACTGTACAGCTCGTGTTGCAATTACTCCCGTAACACCAAGACATACGTGGTTTTTGAAAAGCTGCAGATCCTTGAGCGAACAGGCTTGAGAAAGCCGTCATCAGCTGCCAGAAAATGTTTTGATTTTGGCGGTAGGCATTCAATATTTGTGGAACATACTCTTTTCCATAAGGAAATCAGACTGGACTGGGCTCTGAACAAGGACGGGAGCTGGCTGTCAGGGTTCACAAGGTTACCAGTCCTTCTCATGGTTTTCTAGGGGTCATTAATTCAAGTAATTGTCCCTCAGAACTGATTTCCCACTAAGCTTGGCGTGCTCAACGTGCTCAAGCATCAGTGTTGAAAGGACAGTGTGTCAGGCCACTCTGCCACTGACGTTTGACCTCAGGGTGAATGACAACCTGACTTTTTCCATCTGTAGAATGAGGTGGTTAGTGGACCAGCTCTCACGAAGTATCCTGGTATTTTATCATCTCGACCACATGGTCGACTCTTGCCAACCTGCCCTTCAGTCTGGCCAGGGCCCCTGGCCCAGCACAGCTCTCAGCTGCCAAGACCAATCCCGACCCAAAGCATGATGAATCTGTGCCACCGCTGACCCAAGACTGGAAGGCCAGCGCCAGGTCACTCTCGCTGCTGGAAAAGCCCACGCTGTCCTCTTTCTGCTCGATTTTGCTATTCCTGGGCCGGCTGTGCTGAGGACTAAGTGGAACACGAGGGTAATGCCGTCTTACTATTTACAATTTTCGCTGGAACTTACTGCACAAAAGAAGCAGAGCACAGGGGCTCTCCCCCACAGGGGGCCCCTGTCCTCCAGCCCCCACAAGGCCGGCGCCCTCCAACAGGAAGGTTTAAATGGAAGAGCTAAGTGTAGACTCTGCCAGCAGCATGGACGAGTCACTCCTGAGAAGTTTCTGGGATGAGAACTAGACGAACCATGATTCTTTAAAAAGAGGGTGCTTTCTGTGCAACAAAACCAATTTCACCAAACTTTAATATCAAGCTTAAGGGCACATTTTCTGTTGAGACAGTTTTATAATTCGGACCCCAGGTTAGCAAGAATTCTTCAGTTTGTTTGATAAACTTCTTATCTTCACTAAGCATCTAATATCTCTGAGTGGAGAGTCGTTTTCGGTGCCTTCCAAGCAGAGCCCCCATGACCCAGGCCAATGGTAAAACATCCTTCATTAGCAGCATCCAGAGTAAGACAATGGACTGAGCACAGAGTGGTATCATACCTCCCCAAAACTGACGGGGAAATCCTATATAAAAATATTCAACAGTGTCACTGAAAAACATGAAAGGTACCATAAGCAGATCAGGAGATTTCAGTTAATTCCTGAAAAAGAGGAGGGAAAGGGATCCAGTATAAAATGCAACAGCAAGAGGAAACCATAAGCCAAGACATCTAAGGCTGTGGGAGAGACGGGAGTGACTTCCAGGGAGCCCCAAGCTCACAGCGCCTGACACACGTGGGGGCATGTGCGGAGGATGGGCAGTCGAGGCAGCAGGTGGTCAGTCCCCACTGGCCCTTGCCTGTGCTAAGCAGCCAGCAGCAGTGGCCTCTGCCTCGAGCCCGGGCAGCGCAGGGCAATCCTGACCCCAGTTCCAGGGCCGAGACAGCCTCTGCGGAGGGAGGAAGCTCCCACGCCCAGACAACATGTGTAACCCTGTTGAAACCAAGACCCACGGGAGTCAGGCCAGAGATGTATCTCCACCCCACACAGGATGTCCAAGTAACTCCTGACCTCCTCCCCTTTGTTTCAGAAGCACTGTGAAGAGGATATAGGGTCTTTAAAAAAGGTTTCTTAAAAGTCCCTTTTCTTCTCATGCTCTGAAGCTCCTCTGGTATCTCATGTTTATCTTGAAAACATCAGTAACTTCTCCCAGCTCCAGCCTGAGCACCATTCCTCCACCCTCCTCCATCAAGAAAGCTTCCCCAAAGCCTGGCCGGACACTGACAGACTCTTTCAGGGGGATGGAGGAGGTAAGGAAGTGGACGGGGAAAGCCTGAATCCTCCTGAGTCGGCAAGAAGAGAGGAAAGGAGTCTTTCTTCTTGCTGTTAGAACGAACAGCTATTGTCCCATCACTCCTGATCACACAGGAAGCTGAGGAACACAGGACTGAGGTGAGCAGGCGTTCACTAATACAAAGGTGAGCGGCTCCCCCAAACTGCCAAACGTTTGAGGAAAACTAGTGTCAGGAATGAGAGGATCCAAAATTTGGAAGATTTTGGAATCTATAAATCTCTAGAAACAATATAGAAAATTGGAAATTTAAACCTTGATTATTTGCCACCCAGATCCTAGTTTCTAAATACCGTCCTCCCTAAAAGGAACCAGAGTGCCTTGGAGAAATGGCTGGCTCCACGGCCGGGGCAAGGAAATTACCAGATAAGCCTGGAATATCTTAATCAGCCAAAAAGAGGTGCTTAAAAAATGATGGGCACATGTCAAAAGGACTCAGGAGCCAGCCTGATGAACTCCAGTAGCCAAGTCTGGGTCATTTGAGCATCAAAACAGATAATGACCTGAGCCAGCCCCGATGGCCTAGAGGTTAAAGTTCGGTGCTCTCACTGCTTCGGTAGCCTGGATTTGGTTCCGGAGCAGAACCACACCATTTGTCTGTCAGTAGCCATGCTGTGGTGGCGGCTCATGTAGAAGAACTAGGAGTTACAAATAGAACATACAACTATGTACTGGGGTGTGGGGAGGAAAATAAAAAGTATTAAAAACCCCCACAAATAATGACCTAATAGACTATAACTCATTGAATAAAATAAGAATCCATGATTCCATACTACTACTAAAAAAGTAAATGAGAAGGGAAGCCCTCTCCCTTATAGCAGAATGCCACTTAATAAATGTGGATGTGATAATGGAATTAGAACACCATTCCTTTGTAACCACTGATTCACATAAGGATGCTAACACATAGTCTCAAAGTATCGCCCATAACATACTAATTACAAAAGGAAACAATGCCTGCACGGTAAAAAAAAAAAAAGGTGAGTCCTGCCTTAAGGGACCAACAATGACAGCATCCATAACAGGACACCCTGAGGTCATGGCCTCCTGACGGGATGCCCTGAGGAGGACATCACGTCCACAAAGTCACTGGCCTTCCCTCTAGAACAGGTCAGTATCACAAGGGACGAAAGCTACAGAACTGCTTCTGATTAAAGGAGGAGAAGGCGGCGACAGGACAACTAAACACAGTGCAAGGTCCTAGACAGATTCTAGACCAGGAGAACGTGCTCTCAAGGACTTTATTAGAACAACTGGCAAAAGGTGAGTAAGGTCTACAGATTGTGGTACTGCTGAGAACTGTCATGGCGTCAATGTTAGCCTTCCTGGGGCTGGTAATTGTACATACGTGGTATGTAACAGAACATCCCGGAAGTATTGCGAGACTGAGGCATGAGGTGTCATTTACTCCAAGCAGTTCAGACAAAAGTATGTGTATGCATGTGTGTGTGTACACAAACCTTCCAAGATGAGCCTTTGTAATTCTTGTAAACACACACACACACAGAATGACAAGGCAACTGTGGCCAAATCTAACAGTTTATGAATCTGGGTGAAGGGTTAATGGTATTCTTTATACTATTTTTGCAACTTTTCTGGAAGTCTGAAATTATTTCAAAATAAAAAAGTTAAAATAAAATTTGGTTGCTGAAATAAAAAACCTCAATAGATGGGCCGAAAAGCAGAAGGTAGGATGCAACACATGAGAGACATGTTAAGAAATAGGGGAACGTCTGGGAGACCTACTAATTGTCTAATGGAAGTCCCAGAAAAAGGAGAAGGGAAGGGAGGAAGTAAAGAAGGAACAGAGAAAAGTTCCCAGATCCAAGGAAAGATTAAAAGGACCCAATTAGTACTGAATAACAGAATGAATGTATCTAGACATGGCAAGTTTAAACTTCAAAATATCAAAATAATAAGAAAATTCTGTTTCTTGAGTGAAAGAGTTAAGCTACAAAGGACTGAATTAGACACGTCGGGCTTCGTACTGGCAACAGGGATGCTGGAAGACTACGGGAAAGAGCCTCAGATTAGATTCTATCTCCAGCCAAACTACTAGCCACGTATGAACACAGAATCAAATAATACAAATTGCTTTTCAAGTGTCTGATTGAAATGTGTGTTGGTCTCTTTTGCCACAGCCTTTCAATTCTTTCTTCTTCACGTTTTTCAACACTTCCTTGAATTTGAGTCAGACAGTAGAGCATCACAGAACAGATGTGCTCCATCATTCTAAATTTGCTTTAAAAAATGGCTCCTCTCTCAAAAAAAAAGGCCCAAGTTCTAGCTTGACAGTATTTCAATATAAGCGTTTCACATTGACTTTTCATACGGTGCCGTTTCAGGTTCCCTGGATAAAACTGAGAGTATGAGTAGTGAGGTGGAGGTGGTGAGCGTGGGGCATCTGGAATCACCTTGAATCGCATTCTGAGCATACACGGGACACACAGAGGGAGGGTAACTGGACAAAGACCAGGAGGATAAAGTTCAGAGGAGGACTAGGCACGCCACACACGCTGTCTAAAGATGAGAGTAACAACCCCCCCTCCAAGGGCGATCATGTGTTACCTTTCAGCCCAGTCTCTGCTTCCATCTCAAATATTCCGTGTGTACCTTTGCACTTGAGCCAAGTCTCCTCCGGATTCCCAGCTTCAGGGGGACTGGCCCATTTCGGCTCTTGCCCTGAGCTCAAAGTATTTAACTCCCCATGACTAGAACAGTGCCACTGCCATTAGGTGGCCTCTGCCTACACTACTGGCTGGCCACCTTCGGCGGACCATGTCCACTTAGGCAAGGCACGACTGCTCCAAGGACTGAAGCAAGACTTTTTAGGAACATGCATCTAACTTAATACAATGTGAAGTGCCAGCAATGGTCCATGCACTAGCAAGACGAGGGAAAATATCTTTTCAAGTGAATGAAGACTTAATGACTGCATTAGCGTCTGCGTGAAATTACCTACAAGAATCAGACTGTTCTGGAAGAACAGCGCCCTCCTTTCTTAACATCTCCTCTATTCATACTAATAATATTAAAGAAACCTTGGAAACAGTCACTCTGCCCAACTGACCAGTGAGAGTAACACATGATGCTGGGAAGGAAAAATGAGTATGTGTCCCGTTTTGGGGTGAGCCGTTTACAGATGGAAGGAAAGCTAGCGAGTATCTGATGGGCCAGGAATCCCCGATTCTTCTTTATCAAGCCGCATGGGGGCACATGCTATCGCCTCAAGGAGCCATCTGACGCTGATAGTAGACGGGGATTCCCGTAAGGACCCTGTTCAGGCCGTCTCCAAACACACATTTTTGAGGGGAGACATCAACTAGACCCAAACCTTTTATGATGATTTCCATGTTCAGCTGCCTAGGAAGAGGCATCACAAGGCACAGCGACTGACTGAGCTGAGGGGGCTGAGACCAAGTGCAGGGGTCTCATGGGACGCCCGCAGGAAGGAGGGAAGCTGCCTGTAGCTCCGTGAAGTTCAGGCTTTGAAAAGCAGCCACCATGGCAGGAGCACCATCAAGCCAGATAACCGGTCCAGTGCTCAGTGAGAGCAGCCAGTTACAGGACAGGAAGCCGGGCCTACCCGAGCAGAGAGAGAACCGGGAGAAATCACCTGAGAAATCACCTGCCGGGTGGTGAGATGGGCACTCCCGTCAGCAGGAGTGTAACTGAGAAGCCCTCTGGGCAGCGATATTCATCAAGAACCGTGGGGTTTTTTTCATCTTAAAGAATCTTTTAAAAGTTCATATCTGCTAGTCCCATTTTTAGGAATATAATCTAAGAAAATAAATATACAAAACTTTTGTACAGAGATGTTCAATACATTGGTTCTATTTCCCAAAACAATGGAAATAATCCAAATAGTCAACAGGGGATTACAAAAAATAAATTATTCCATCTACTTGGTGGAATATTATGCAGTCAATTTTTTAAAAAATTGTTTTCAATAGATATAAAATGACATACTATGATCTTAATGTTGTAAAAAAGTATGCAGGGGAAAAAAGATGCAAAGTATGCAAATGTAAATAGTGGTAACATTCGGCAATAAAACTTTGATTTTATTTGCTTGTTTATTCTTTCCTATGTTTTCTAAAATTTCTACAAGTACATATTTTTAGAATTAGAAAAAAATTTTTTTTAAAGGAGAACAACTCCCCCCTCCTTTTCTTCGCTTCTCTTTCTATAACTTCTCTATTGATACACAAGAAAGAGTGTATGGTCACTCACCTGCCCTGGGCTCCATCCTGGGTTTCTAATTGCTGAAATGCACGTTTCAGGGACATGCGTATGTTCACTAACTTATTTGTTGTAAAATCTCACCAGACGTGTGACTTCCGATACACAACACAGTCCGAAACAGTACCACAAAACACATCACTGAAGTATACTAAAATAAGGTTATTTACTTAAAAATGATACATTGGACATAATCTATATATAGAACAAAGCAATTAATGGTAAACTTAATAAGGCACCTTTTAAACCAGATGCTGTACAAAATACATTTAGTGTGTTACATATCAAAGATGAGCCTCTATTTTTGGTGTTTTACAATTGCATAATAAAATTGCTTGTTTTGAACCCTTCTTTCACTGTCTATGTACAACGTCCCTAATTAAGCTATAATGATATTTTCATTTTATACAATATATACCACATTTTAGTTTTTAAATGGGCAACGACAACAGTCACTAAAAGGGCTTAAATAATTCCACTGAAAGCATAGTACAGAGCACAAGCTAAAATTACAATAATATATTTAATCCTTTGCAAAAGCCGTATTCACATACTTTCCTTATGGGATGATCAATACACGTGGCTTCATGTGATGCTGCCCTAGATTTGTTTTTAGGAACACGTCAGCTATCTGCAGGTTTCACTGCGACTCTCAGAACAGCACTGAGGCAGGACAATGAACGGCTACACTATTGTAACATCTGACTCAAGCAAATAATAAGGATTACCACTTTTCAACAGTACAAGAGCTGCAACAATCTTTTTAAAAAAATCAATTAGTATTTCTGCTGTTGAAATTATTTTAAATATTTAGAAACATTTCAAAACAACATGTATGGCAAGAAATGTAAGTGATTTAATTTATAAAATCTTGCCTGGAATAAATTATTCAGTATCAACTTTGATATTGGGCCAACTTAGAGATGTATGATTCTTTAAAAATTGTATTGCATTTTTGTTCTAAACGGAAGCAAAGCATCTGGGGAAAAAAGGTAGTGAATAAATTAAAAATCTGGCACATTCTAGGAAAACATAATTTTCAAAAACTATAGGTCACTTTCTAAGCTCAGAAACACTTCTGGACATTGGAAAGGCAAGATAAAATGTTGATTATCGAAATATCTTTTGTGAAAACACTTCCAGAGAAATTAGATTCAAATTTTATACTTCAGAAACTCGTTCAATAAGAAAGCACTGGGAAAGCTTAGAAAGAACACACTGGAGCCAAGCTTTGGGTGCCCTTAATCCTAGAGATATTTACCAGCAGAGAATTTAGAAGAATTTTCTTTGAGGGTTACCTTTTGTTATTTATATTCAGGTAGATTTGGCTTTTTGTTTGTTTTTATGTTTTAATTATTTAAAGGGAAGACAGACACAAGCCACACATTTTTAAAATGCTAGATTGTAAATGGGACCTAATAACATCTTCTAGGGTTTTACAAATTAACAAGTATGGTACTAAACAATACTTCCTCTGACTCTGTTAAGTATTTTACTTGCTGGATGAACTTAGAAATTTAAGAGTAAGAGTAAGAAGGAGAGAAGAAAAGTTTCATGCAACATTTTTTAGACTTTAAGATTTCAAATATGGCATCATTTCCTTTTTAAAGAACATGTTACACAAGAAAATACTTTTTTGAACAAATTTCTAAGGTTAATTCTTGATATCACTTTTAATCAATTTATTAAAAAATCATTAGAGTGGTCTTGTACTTACATACTGTCACTTTTTGCTTCCACATACTATTTTATTTTAACATTTCTAAGAAGAGAGTTTGCCTTCCCCTACATATTTTATTATTAAGAAATATGAACGTATAGTTTATCAAATACAAGATAAATCCAGGTTAACCTCAGACTAAGTAGATCAGAGCTTGTAAGTTTTCTTAAATCACATGGCGATTTAGATCAAAATATCTATATTTCTCAGTACAGAGATGGGAAAACATTCTGAAAAAGCACGTTACTGGGTACTATCCGTATGTAAATCTACCTATCTTGATGAACACTTCAAACTTTCATTATGTTATGAAAATTATTCAACTTGGTCAAAACTGTTAAAGCAAGTTTCAAATTAGTGAAATCTGATGTATAGACAAACGTATGAGTTTCATCCTTAAATGTCAGTCAAATTTTTGGTGACGGATGGGTACACACTCTGATTCCTCCTCTTCAATTTAAAGTTTTTTAAAACTATGTTGTGACATAATCCCATTTATTTTATGTTATACTCAAAGAAAACGGTCTCAATTTATGCACCCGTGAGTTCTATTTAAAAGGCGTCACAGAAGCGTGGTAAGTTTGAGCACATCCGAATTATCCCTTGGGATAGCAAGGCACCCGTAACACAGACAGCACTTTACTGAATAACTGCTAGATGGTATAGATACAGGTACTGACGGGATACTGAACTTTTCTGCCTGACTCTCTTTATGGTCTTCACGAGTCATGAAACAGAAATTAAAAGACAAAAAAATCTCAAATGATTTAAATGTCTCACACAGTTGTTGATAAACTTCTATTGGCTCTGAAACAGAAAGTTCTAAGTAGAGGACCCTTTCATAAAGGAAAACTGAGATGACAGCGCCTTAATGAAAGTCTGCACCTGAAGTGAACAAACTCCTAGATGTGATATACTACTCTGAACATATTAATTCTGAAAATTCATATGCGGTTCTACTTTATAACATTTTTTTCTGATGATCTTTTAATTTTTTCCCTTAAGGATGGGATGTGAGGTACACGTGAGCTGGTTTCTACAGTATGAATATATGTACATATATAAAATATGGTTTTAAAGGAGCAGGTGTTTTGCAAATAAAGCATATTACACACAAAATATAAATAGCTTCCCTTTTAAAAGTTACTGAGAATAAAGAATACAGAACATGGTTATAGGCACTTACACTGTTATCAAATGCAGTAATTAGTAATTCACTTCGCTAAGAAGTGTTTTCTTTAGAAGGTTCGTGGCATTGGAAGCCCCAATTTTGGACAGGATTCTTTTCATAACAAAAATAATAATTATGAAAAAAAAATGATGGTGGTAGGAGGAAAACAGTCCAAATTGACAGACACTTTGAACTTCTTTTGGCCTTTATATCAACTTTCATGTTAAAAAATAAAGTTGGTGGAGAGGCTAGCTACCTTGCAAGGTAAATGGCTTTTATGTGATTGGCAAATCTTGGTCAGATAATGCATTTTTACAGCACAAAACCAACAGCCACCAATATCTTCCCATGCATTCATAAATTATTTTCTTCTAATTCAAATGGCAGCAGAGGAATCCTGGTGTGCACGTGTGTGTACACACACACACCATTCTCAAGGCATGACAAACCATCGTAAACTGAGCAGTATCCCAAACAGATCATACTCCAGAGGTTGCTTACAAAGGTAGGATACAAATAGATTAAATTTTCCCAGGTAGAAGGCAAAAGTGTGTACTCTCCATCTCTGCTGAATTCATTTATCTTCTTAAGGCTTTCACAGAAAGCACCATTTTATGAACAGGTGATTCAGTACCCAGAGTTTGACTGGAGACTTATTAATCAGGATTGAAGTCTTGATGCAGTTCATAAAAACCCAATAAAAAAAAGGCATCAAAAACCACATTTAAAATAAAGCTGTCCATATATAAAGAATGAAGTGTTTAGAAGGTCCCCGCTCGTGGTCTACAGAGTACTGAAGGGTTTAATATTAGCAGCCTGTGAAGGTGTAGTGAGGAGGGGGTCTGAGAACCAAGTCAGCATCCTGACTCTACTCTAATTCCACCCGTTCCTTGCGTGAAAACAGTTCTGGCAGTCTAGAATTTCTCCTCATGACTGTTTGACTGTCAAATCTTTACATCTTGGGATTCAACCATCTTGGCAAGTGTCTTCTTGATTCTCAGAGCTGTCAGTCTGGAGGCTGGATTGTGGGCCCAGCATTCTGACATTAGCTTCAAAACTGCTCGTAGACACTGAAAAGTAAAGAGAATGGAATGAGCTGGTAAATGTCTTTGGTGACACCAATCACTTCCTCAAGGGACTGAGTTCCACTTACTTCATCACTGTTCCATCGATTAGAAACAAGCGGCCGCAAACGTTTGACACACACAACCTCGCGCATATCTTCATAGGATGGATCATTGGGTACCATGTTGTAATATGGCAACTGGTACTCTTCCACTATCCCTGTAGGGAGTTAGAAAACATAGTGGGCACAGAAACGGCAGCTGGACAAAATATGTCAATCTATTCAGCATCTCTTACTGGACTATGGAACTAAAACTGATTCCTACACAAAGAAGAAAAAAATTAGAGAGTAGATGATTCACTATCAATAGTAAATGAATATTCTTCTCTTTTTTAACATCTAATTATTTCCTCAACCTCCATCAGGGTCCCCATCACAGCTGCGGACATACCAACATCCCCCAAAAAAGAGCAACAATTGAAATGCTCATTCACCATAATTTTTAATCTAATTATTCAAGCACACAATTGTGGCTACTAATGAATACAGTTTTTATTTTTTGTTTTGTTTTGTCCTGCAGTAGAAAGACAACATGATATGCAGAAAAGAGTTGACACAGGAGGTCTGAGACTGCAGTCCATGGAAAGCCTGCGTGCAAGGCTGGCCCTCGGCTGGCGTCTGGGAACTTGCCTGGTGAACGGTTCCCTCACTGATAGAAAACTTCCCCTAGATGATAAGGATGGCTCACTGTGCCTATATTATTTTTGCAAACAATATGGGTTATGCTGAATACCTGCTTTCTTTCTGGGAGTTTGGAATTTTGGTACATGCCAGGCAGAGGGTGCCCACATGACCAGCCTCCAGTAAAATCTTTTGGTACTAAGTTTCTAATAACTTCCATGCATGACACTATTTCACAAGTTGTCACCATGTGCTGGAGAAGTTGCGCACACCCTGTGTGAGCCCACAGGGAGAGGACTTTTGGAAGCCTGTGTCTGATTGCCTCTGGACTTTGCCCCAGGCGGCTTTCCCCTTTGCTTATTTTGATTTGTATCAGTGAGGATAACTATTTGCTGAGTCCCACAAGCGCCTCTATTGAAATCACAGAACCTGGGAGTGGTCTTGGGGATCTCTGATATACCTGACATCTACATTATATAAAAGGAGCTGTTATTTTTTGAATGATGAGGATACAAACATAACCAGAATCACGCTACTTAAACTCCTACCTCCTGTGACACAACGACGAGCCATCTCCCAAATGATGAGACCAAAGCTATAGATGTCCGCCATTATGTAGGGCTGGAAATGGTTTTTATTCAGGCTCTCATCGAGCACTTCTGGAGCCATGTAGCGTTTGGTACCTACCCTGGTATTCAAGGGTACATCAACTTCATTCGTATCACTGCAACGAAAGACAGACGATGTCCAGGTTGAGGGCTAAGAACAAAATAGTTCATCTGCTATTTCTGTTGTATTTTGTAAAAGTCATTCTCTCTCTCTCTCCCCATATATAATATTACATATGAAATAAAAAGCTATCTACCTATCTATCTAAAATTTCCACATTCCCTTAGCATAAATCATTGGGGCCAGATGTATTTTGAAATTTAGCATCTTTTAGTTTTTAGAAAAGTAATATACCCTTTAAATATATGCTACGTATTCTATACCGTCCCCAGCAGGTCTGGAGCAGTGCACTTAATCAAACTCCTTACTACGTCAGCAGTGAAAAATTCACACTAAACTGGATAAAGACAATCAGTATCTCACGTCAGTTCAGGTAAGGTTTTGTCACCAAACAAGTTTTGTGCCTCCACAAAAAAAGATTACAATACTGAGTATAAAAAAAAGTGGTAGACAATTACATCTCCGAACAAGTGAATGTGAAAAGAATTTGAGAGGACTCATCTGCCTTTGCCATTCTCATGCGAGAAACTCAGCCTTCGTGACAGAGGATGACATCCTCTTCTTTATGGTTCCCACCAACTCAGTTCTGCTGTGCATCACGTTTACACAACCACACTGACAATCGGCAATAAATGTTTATTGGTTTTTCAATTTGTGGATTAAATTTTGGAGTTAGAAGAAATGAATGCTTTGTTGGTTAGGCCCTCAGCTCTGGCAGGTTCTGGAAACTACTCTGAAGCGATTAACATAATGTACTTTATATTTTCTTACATGGCATTTGATGAACATTTGAACCAATAAACACTACACTGATTAAAAAACCAACAGGATTAGAACACTGTAACAATGAGGGAAGAAGACTGAAAAATTTCTAACGTTTGTCTTATAATGAACTAGTACTTTTATGTTATGGCCTGAAATGAATTCTCAAATATGAAATGGCTGCTGTATTCTAAATGGTTTCAATGGTTTGCTTAAAAATTTTATAATTCTAACTATTTAAAAATATTGATAACATCCAGTGGTGATGGAGAAATGGCACACTTATACCCTGTTTATGGTAGTGTAAACTGATGCACGCTTTCTACAGGACAACGTGTAATACACTATTGCTTAACACGCACAGACTCTTTGTTAAGCAGCCCCTTCTCTAGGGACCCATCGTGAAGAAATAGTGCACAAACGCTCAAGGATATTACATATGGATAAAATACAATGTTCATCTAAGCATTGTTTTAATAGTGGAGATAACTGGAGGCAACTTTAATGTCCATCAATTGGGCCATGGATGGGATAAACAACAGATCTACATTATGGAAAGCTTTGCATTAACACTTTCTTTAAAAAGAATGAAGCAGATCTATACAAAGCGAAATAGAAAGATGTCTAAGACAATAAAACAAAATCAAGAATTATGTAGAGTAGGATGCAATTTTTTGTCAAAAAACAGTAACAAAAAAAAGACAAAATCCTCAACTATATATTTCAAAACAGTAGGCAAAGAATTATTCACCTGTTGAATTTAACAGCAAGGCCCAGGTCAGCAATACAGCAACTTCCATTTTTTTTGATGAGGATGTTTTTGCTCTTTAGGTCTCGATGAGCAATTGCAGGCTTTCCTTGGGTGCCATAAATTTCTGTGTGGAGATGGCACAGCCCACAGGCAGCTGAGTAAGCCAGCTTGAGTAGGGCTCTGGTGTCTAGTGTAGCACATTTCAGGAAATCATAGAGAGATCCATTTTCATGGTAGTCAGTAATCAAATACAGCTGAGTCCAGGAACCTGTGCCTTTAATGTCTGCTGCTATAAAACCTGTCCAATTAATGAGTTTAAAAGGTTAGTTATCAGAGAGAGCCAGGAAGAATAACGAGTGCTCATTCAGGATACTGAGAATAACTCAGGTATCACGTACAGGTAATAAAAATTTTATTTGCTTGACAAAAACCTCTTGAATGTGTTGCCAAAACTTTTATTTCTGCAATTTACACACATAACTCTACACACTTCTGCAATAAATTTAAAATAATCTTAACGATAATCAAGAAAATTATAATAATATGACTAAGAAAAAGATCACACAGAATAACCTGGGGGAATGTTATCAAGCTTTGTGATTCTCTACGCATGAAGAACTATAAAGAAGGAATGTGGAAAAGGCTCTCAATTTTAAATTAAAACGTGAACAAATTAAAATAATGAACTTAAAAATGTTCAACTAACAGTCTGCTCCCGACTAACCAACTCCCCGCCCATCAATGACTCATCACGACTGCCTTTCAGGCCAGCTCGCTCACTGAGCAGGTCCACACACTGGCCTCCTTTGTCCTTTTTCTCCTCTCTCCTTTCAGAACAACGTCAGTGAGTGCTGGTTGAGCAGGGTCCCTCTCAAACTCATGTCAACCTGGGAGCTGTGAATGTGACCTTATTTGGAAATAGGGTCTTTGTAGATGTGATCAAGTTCAGATGAGGTCATACGAGATTAGGGAGGGCCCTAATTCAATGACTGTAAGAAGGAAGTCTGGACATAGGCACACAGGAGAGAAGGGCACGTGAGGACAGAGACAGGAGTGCTGTCGACAAGCCAAGGAACGCCAAAGATCGCTGGCAGTCAGCAGAAGCGAGGAAGAGGCCAGGAAGGGCCATCCCCAAGAGCCTTGAGGGAGCAAGGCCCTGCCGACACCTTGATTAAACTTTGGCCTCCAAAACGGCATCCAGTTTGTGGTAATTTGTTATGACAGCCATAGGAGGCTAACACAAGAGCCTACTTTACACTTGGCAAGGTGCTATACACTTGGCAAGGTGCTACGCACGCTCTAAATTAAAGGGTAGGGAAACAGCAGCTGAAAAGAAAAGTCAGGAGAGCTGGAGGAGTTTACGAACCCTACTGATCAGATCACATCTAAATTATTTTACAGTTGCATAAGTGGGAAGGGAGGGAGACACCTGCTAAGCACAGAACGTAAATGAAGAGACATCTTATGCGGGGGAACGTGACTGAGCTTACAAAAAGCAAAAGGTACATAAAGTTATCCCAGAAAACTGCTTAAATTACCTGTGAAAGACTTGGTTTTTGTTATGATATGAGTAAGACCAATAAACTAGCACTGCTTCCAATGTGAAACTCACTGCTGTTTCCTCAGCTGGGTAGTAAATAAAGTGGTTGGTTGGCATTCAGGACTGTGTTGTATTTAAAGTATGTATTCTACTGGGTTTCCTTTAGCCAAATACACATAATTAAATTGACATATTTTCAAAACTCATATGGCAGGCTTCAACCTGCATCCCACTAACCTTGTCACAATATGGAATTGACTGAAATCATACGTGTACCCACCAAGTATATTTTCATGGCGCATTAGCACGGTTTGATAGATTTCTGTTTCTCGAAACCAGCTGGCTTCTTCAGTGGTAAAAAACACTTTGACTGCTACTTTTTCACCACGCCATTTGCCCATCCACACTTCTCCATATCGGCCTTTACCAACTTGCCGAACCATCTGAATCTGTTTGGCAATAGTTCGCTGCACCTTCATAGAAAAAAGTAGAATGTTTTGAGTTCTTGATGAAAAGAACCTATTAAGACTGAGAAAGTGGTCTGAGAGCCCACCCTTCAAAAAGCATGGTACACACAACCAACGTTAAAACCGACAATGTACTGAAAAGAAGACGAAACTGCACAATATATTCTGAAATCACAAACTAAGAGATTAGCCAACGTGGCAGATTGTTTCCCCAAACGGTCAAAATAACTCCCCTCCCTTGGGTACACACACCCTTGGGTAGTCTCCTCCACAGACGCTGGGCTTGGCCACATGACTTGCTTTGGGCAACAGAACAAGAGCAAATGTGCTGCAAGAGAAGACTTGAGAAGTGTTTGTGCACTGGGGCTTGCCCTTTCTTGCTGTTCTGAGGAACTCTGAGACCAGCAACAGTACCGTGCAAACTGTCGGTGGTGGGCACAAACCATACAGCCTAGCTCCAGCTGAGCAAGTTCAGAAAAAGAACTGCCCAGCAGACCCTCAGAGTCATGAGAAATAACAAATGTTTGTTGTCTCAAGCCACTAAGCTTTGGGGTGGTTTATTATGTAGCAAAATCTAAACGATAGTTCAAAGTCTTCAACTCAGTCTGTAAGCCCCCACATGACCTGGCTCCTGCCTAATTCTCCAGCCTCATCATTCGCTATCACCACCATCCCACCTCTCTCATTTACCTTATTTCAACTTTTAGAATTCACGTAAGCGCACTCCTGGCTCAGTGCAGTTCCCTTTCCTCGAGAGTGCCGTTTCTCTGTTAACACCTCCATGGCACATACATACGTCTCAGCTGCTGCACTTATTACAACCACAATTTTATTATCACTTATATATGTATTTGTTTGAATCCCATCTCCCTGCTCACAAAATATAGCTGTTTATTTAGGACGATATCTAAAGTAAAGTAAGTGCCTTCATTAATATTTGTTGAATAAAGATGCACATTAATCGAAACCCTTCATTGTCAGAAGCATTAGTGGTCATTCTAAATGGAAAAGAACACTATGGGCCAGCTTGGAACTGCACTGAGAGTGGGCTAGATCTTGTGCACACCCGACTGACTGACTTTAAGTCATTTCATCACAGGATCCTTTTACAATTTTTTTTAGACAGTCAGGATTATTGAAGTTTAATTTACATACAATATAATTCACGCTTTTTGAGAACTGTTTTGACAAATGTATACAGTCATGTAACCACTAAAACCACAATTAAGATATAAAACATTTCCATCACCGAGAAAGTTCCCTCTTGCCTCTTTAAAGGCACCCACCCCCAGTCCCTGGCATCACTGATCTGTGTTCTCTCCCTCCGAGTTTTGCTTTCTCTAGAATATCACATAAATGGAAACATAAAAAATGTAGCCCTTTGTGCCTGGCTTCTTTCATTTAGCACAAAATGCCTTGAAATTCACCTGTGTTGTTGCTGCATTTATCAGTAGTTTGTTCCTTTTTCTTGACGACTAGTACTCCACTGTATGTGCCACAATTTGTTTATCCGTTTACCCACTGATGAACTTTTGGGCTGTTTACAATTTATGTCTATTACGAATAAAGCTGCTATGAACGCTCACATTCAGGTCTGTGTGTGGACACGCATGCATCTCTTTGGTACATACTTAGCAGAGGACCGCTTCATTGTATGGGGAGTAAGGCTCAACTTTTCAGTCAACTGTCAAACCATTTCCCAAAGTGGCTGTACCATTTTGTATTTCCACCAGCAGTGTATGAGATTTCCAGTTGATTTGTTTATATCCTTTTTGGCACTTACTATTTTCAGTCTTAGCCATACAAGTGGCTGTGTAGGAGTATGTCATTGTGTTTAATCTGCATTTCCCCAATGATGCTAAACAGCTTTCCATGTGCTTATCTGCCATTCTTATATCTTCTTTGGGGAAGTGTCTATTCATATCTTTTGTCCATTTTTAAAAACTGAGTTGCCTTATTACTGAGTTGTAAAAGTTCTTTATATATTCTGTAACACAAGTTCTTTATCAGATCTGCTTTGCCAGTTTGTGACTTTTTTCATTTTCTTAAAAGTGTCTTCTGAATAAGAAAAGTTTCAAATTTTTGAGAAAGCTTAATTTATGATTTTTTAAAATGAATCATGAGCCAGCCCTGATGGCCTACAGGTTGAAGTTAGGCATGCTCCACTTTGGCAGCCTGGGTTCTGTTTCCAGGTGTGGAACCACACCACTCGTCTGTCAGTAGCCATGCTGTGGTGGTGGCTCACGTAGGGAACTAGAGGGACTCACAACTAGAATATACAACTATGTACTGGGCTTTGGGGAGGGGAAAAAAACAAAAGAATCATGCCTGTGGTGTTCTAAGAAATCTCTGCCTCAACCCAAGGTCATGATGATTTTCTTTTTCTTCTTGTGTGTTTTTTTAATTAAAGTATAAAATTGTTGACATAAAATATTATATTAGTTTCAGGTCACAATGACTTTCTAAAACATTTTCTTTTAAAGGTTTTGTACTGTAACCTTAACATTTAGGTCTATGATCCAGTTCAAGGCAATTTTGTATATGGAGTGAGGTAAGGGTCAAAGATTCACTTTTTTGCAAATGGATGCCCTTTCCCTGCACCATTTGTGGAAGAGACTGTCTCTTCCCCACTGAATTACTCTGGCACCTGAATCAGTTGATTCTATATGTGTGTGCCCATATGTAGACTCTGTTCTGCTCCAGTGATACACACACTGATCCCCATGCCAGGAACACACCGTGCTGATTACTGTAGCTTTATACTAAGTCCAGAAATGAAGTGGCGAATCCTCTTTGTTCTTCTTTTTCAAAATTCTTTTGGCTCTTTTGGGTCCGTTGCATTTCCATATAAACATTAGAATTAGCTCATCACTTTCTACAAAAGTTTGCTCTAATTTTGATTTGGATTGAATCGAAATTATAAATTGCTTTTAGGAAAACTGGAATCTTAATACCGAGTCCTCTGATTCACAAACAGGATCTACATTTCCAGTTGTTTAGTGCCTTGTTAATGTCTTTTGGTAGCATTTTCTAACTTTCAGTGTACAAGTCTTATATAACTTTTGTTAAGCTTATTCCAAAATATTTTATGCTCTTGATGCTATTTTAAATAATGCTGCTTTTTAAAGTTTAATTCCTAGTTGTTTGTTGCCAGTGTATACAAATTTGAGGATTCTGTACAACGGCTTTATACTCTGTAAGCCTGATAAACTCACTTATTGGTTGTTGTAGCTTTACGGTATGGTCCTTGAGACTGTCTATGTAAACGATCATGCTGTCCACACGTGAAGATGGTTTTACTTTTGCCTTTCCAATTCAGTTACAGACTTATTTAATTTGATGAATTTTTAGAAATCAATCTATTTATTTTAAACAAATGCAATTAAACAAACAATTAAAAATCTATCTGGATATCTAGTGTTTACTATAAGGGTCCTCTTGATGTCTAAATCTGAATATTTCCATACATATAACCCTCTTCGAATTATTTACAACTCACTTTAAGATTCCTTTTATGAGTTGTGTTTGGTCATACAGTATTGTACTGAGGGAAGTGTCCTCTCTATGGAGACCGGTGGGAGTAACTTTCCTTCAATTTTAGAGTCTGAAATAGTTATACTTCTCCCAACCCATCAGTTTAACCCTACAGATGCAAGGAATCTTGATTCCTCTTCAAGCTGGCTGTTAAAAGCAAAACTTGGAGCCAACTCTAGGACTTACAGAGCACTTCATGACCACGTTTTCTTTCCTAACCTTGCTTGTGGCTCTATATTACTTGCCTATTCTATTTTTTTTGTTTCATATTCCTTAGTTTTAACTAATTTCATCTTACATTACTGCAATCACCTTTCTAATGAAGAAGGACAAAAATGTGTTTAGTAACGTTCCCTAATCTATAATAACTATGCTGTCTACCATCATGTGAGGACATATTCCATATCGATTTACCATTCACGTGGATGACATTTCATCTTACCAGTAAAGGCAGTCCAGACCCACTCCCAGAACTTTGCGACTGGTCAATAAGGTCTTTTAATGATTCTCCGACTGGAATAAATGCTTCGTCCTGTTCCAAATCACGATTGTAACGACGTCTGCTTGAGATGCTCTTGCAATAATGTCTTTGAAAAAGCAGAAAATAATCTACATTAAAATTCTGAAACCATATAACTCTAAGGTAATAAAGATCTTGAGATTGTTGACATCATCATTTTTCCCTCAGACAAGATCATATCCAAATTAGTCTTATCAAAGGATGATATAGCCTTTGTTAAAATAATGCCCAGAAATGGAATTTACGAGGTGAAGTTCCACATACCATGTTACCACGGAAAGATGCCCACAGTGTATTGGCACATGAAAAAGACAGATTAAAAAACAGCACGTAAAGTGTAATCCTAGCTATAAAAAATGTTTAAATTACATGTACTCATGTCTAAAAAGATCAGAAAGGACATACAGCAAGTTGTAAATAATAGTTATTTCTGGGGATGTAGGAATATTTACTTTCTACTTTACATAAATACCTTCATTTGAATTTACAAGTATGTATTTTTGTATCAAAATGAACAATAAATACATTTCCATCTTAAAAAAAGAGAAAAAGTTTATGGAAAAGAAAACAAGTTCTATTAATTCATTATATTTTTGAAGCCTTCTCTTTTCAAAATTTCAAATTACAAAATATTTAACATACAGAAAGGTAGAGATTAATTCAATTGAAACACGTGTAGACTATTTAAATTTAATAAATTATTAACATTATGTTATATTTATTTTAGGTATATTTTAAATAAACATTAGAAAAATTTGAAGCTCCAGCCATTTCCCTGATAATTCCATTTCCCTCTTTTCCTCCTAAAAGACAAATACCATCCTGAATGTAGTTACATCCTTCCTATCTATGTAGTTATACTTTTACCATAAATGCACATATTCATAAACATTGTTTCTCTGGATATAAATTCACACAAATGGGATATGTTGTATTAATATTTTGCACTTTGCTTTAAAAAAAAACTCCTTATGTTTTATATATTTACTCATATTCATACATGTTAAAAAACCATAGCTCATTTTTACGGATGCTGAGCGTGTCAGGCACTGTTCCATAACTCACTTCATCTTTATGAAACTCCTCAGAGGTTGAGCACTATTGTTCCCAGCTGACAAATGAGGAAACCATGACCCAGAGGTTCAGCATCTGTCCCAAGGCAGACAGCTGGCTGGGGGTACAGCCGGGATCCAAACCCAGAAGCTGGGTCTGGAATCCATGGTCCGAGTCACTACTATTCCGTTAAGGAAATGATTTATATAACACCTGTGCTCCTGTGATGAATTTGCTACAACTTACCCTGACAGCCATATTTTAGTTATTTCCAAAAGTCTGCTAATATAAACAGTACCGCAAAAAATATTTCTGTGCCTGTCTGTTGTGCAGTTGTGTCAGAATTTCTTGAAGGTATACATACTTTCAATTTTATTGCTATCACCAAACTGCTCTCAAAAGTGAAATAATTTATATTTCCACCAAAAGTATAACATCACAATGTGCATTTCCCCACATTCCAATCCACACTTGGAACCATCACAGTTTCAGACTTTTGCCAACTGAATGGGTATGAAATAGTGACTTGTTTTCATTTGTTTTCCTCTGATTACTAAGGAGGTTGAACTTTTTTTTTCACAGTTTGTTTTTTTTCTGTGAACTGCCTATTTACGTTTTTGCATGTTTTCAACTGCGGTGTTTTATCTTTTTTTATGATTGATTCATAAGAGTTCTTTATATAATCTGGATACTAAAACTTTGATAATTACGTTACAACAGTCTTCTCTCAGTCTGTGACTGTCAAGTCATTCTATTTATGGGGTTTAATGTCAGTTTTAATTTTAATCTTATCAAATTAAATTTATCAATCTCTTTTGTCTTGTTTAAGACAACCTTCCCCACCCTAATATCATAAACATATTTTAAAGGTTTTAGAATTTGATCTCTCTCATTTAGTCCTTTAATCCATTGGAACTTACAGTAAAGGATGGAAATTAGGTAATACATCAAGTCAGATTTGTTTTCCATACGGATAGCTCAATATACTTAATCATTTTTGTAATTTTATTTTTAAAACTTCATATGGGGAAGTGACTCAAATGGTTTAAAATTCAAAAGGCATAAAGAGTGCAGAGTGAAAAATCTTCTCCCACCCCCATCCCTAAGCCGTCAAGTTCACTTCCCCAGAAGGAACCTGGAAGTGGAACCCATTGACAGTTTCCTGGGTAATCTTCTGGAGACATTTATGCACATTCAAGCAAAAACATACAGATTGGTGTTCATCTCTCCTGCTGCTTTTTCCTTCCAGGAACGGCAGTGTACCCACACATGCTGTTCTGCATCTTGCTTTTTCACTTAGCAATGTATCTGGGGGTCACTCCACCGTGGCAAGCAAAGAGGCTCCTTCTTTTCTGATGGCTAAACACTATCCCACTGTATGGCCTCTACCCAGCTTCCTTACGGGTAACACTCAGAGTTTCTAGTCTTATTTCACACAAGGCTGAAGTTTCTAGTTTCTAGTCTTATTTCACACAAGGCTGAAGGAAAACACTTGCTGGCCCATCTGTGGTGCAGATCACCGAAGTGAGAGCTGACTCGGGACTTCTGATGCGAGGCTCCATTGAGGCCGTACAGGCCACCCGCCTTCCCGTGAGCGCCTGTATTCCCCAAGCCGTCCGCAGCCTTGGGTCGCTCCCACCTGTCTCCAGATCAGCAAGAGACTCCCCTCCTCCCACCCATTTTGTACTTCTTAGAAGCGAACATTTTCAACTTTTCTAAGCTGATTTAATGTTTACCTGCATTTCTAAATAACATGCTTATATTGACATTTTCAGTTTTCAGTCTCAGGCTTTAACTATTGACTTCACACTGTGGAAAATGAGGATTTAACTTATCATTTAACACCCCTAGTCCTTCCCCAAGCAGAAATGCTTCTCCCCTCACATCCTCCCAACACGGTTGTAGCATAATATCTGTTCAGACCAATATTTAATATCTGCATGATTATGACTATGTAAACTCTACCCAAATGTGGATCTCACAGTATAGCACAATTGTTTTTTCTTTCCTGCAAACTGTCTCGGCCCCAGGGCACAGGCAAAGATCCTCTACTTCTGGATATAAAGAGCAGGAGCAAGTCCCTCTGCCTCTCACTGGTGTGTAGGAAACACTTCCTCTGGCCCAGGCAAAGATCCACTGATGCTGAGGAAGGGTCAAAACTCTGAGAAAGCCTCATCCTTAAGGTCTAGCAACATGGGCCTACCTCCCTCAGGAGGTCCCTTTCCACCTGCCCCACCAGGAGCGACACGTGGCTGCAGGCTCCCTCTGGGGGAAGGGCAAAAGCAGGCAGGGAGACTTCTGCTGCGGTGCCGAACGCAGTGAACGCTGAGGGGCTTAGCAGGAACACGGAGAAAAACTCTTCCCCACTAAAGCCCCACTCCAGGCACAACGAAACCTCAGCCCATCAGCAGAGGACTGGGAAACCTGTGAGGCCCTGAAGGCACAGGCCCAAACAGTAAACAAGGATGAGCCCAAAGCAACTCCTGACCAGACTGGCTCACCCCCCACTCTAACAGCTTAAGCAAATTAGAGGCATGCTCATTTTTAGGTGCAAATATACATATTTTATCTCAGTCTGTTACTCTAAACATGATGTAGTGCATTCAATCAAAAGTTATGAGACACACTAAAAGGCAAGGAAAATAGCTCACTGTCAAGAGGTCAGGCAATCAACAGAACCAGTCTCAGGGATGACCCCTATGTTGGAACTATCAGACAGGCACTTTAAAATAACTCTGATTAAAATGATAAAGCTTCTAGTAGAAAAGATGAACAACATGAATAAAGAGATGAAGAATTTCAGCAGAGAAACGGAGTCAGGCGGAAATGCCAGAAACGTAAAACATGATGCCAGAGATGAAGAATTCCTTTAGTAGGCTCAAGCAGACTGGACACAGTTGAGGGAAAAACTAGTGAACTTGAAAATAGGTGAATAGAAATGACCTGAACTAAAAAATATAGAGAAAAACAAATGAGGAAACTTCAATGAAGAATAAAAGAGCTGTGAGACAATATCAAATAATCTAAACATCTCAAAAGGAGAAGGGAGAGAGAAAGGAAGAGGAAAAATACGTTAAGAGATAGCAGACAATAATTTCACAAAAACAGAGAAAGACACCAAACCACAGATTCAGTAAGCTCAGTGAACCCCAAATGAGAGTAAAAACCAAAAAAGAAACATACATCTCCTAAACATATTATAGTCAAATTGTTTAAAACCAAAGATAAAGGGAAACATCTCTAAGTAAAAAAAGTCAACCCAGAATTCTATATCCAGTGAAAATACCTTAGGAAAATGAAAGTAGAAGATTTTTCAGATAAACAAAAGCTGGGAGAACTTATGGCCAGTAGACTTACACTGCAAGAAACCAAGTTAAAGGAAATGCTTCATGCACAAGGCACATACCACATGAACTTGGACCTAAAACCTGGAACTAAAGGAACAAATGGAGAGCGCAGAAAATAATAAAAATAAACATGAACGTGAAGGACATTTTTTCTTATTTTTAATCACTTTAAAGATGATCAGCAACTCCTTTTTTTAGGTGTACAATAAATGTTTATCTTTTTTATTAAATGAAACATTATTTGGCAGTACTTTTGCTGCAATTAACTTTAAAATCTTCCATTTTCAATATTTAACTACTGTGGGACTGGGCACCTGCCGGCGGCAGTGAGGATGATGGACCAGAAGTGGGCCTATCTGATAAATTAATCTGTGACACTGCTTCCCAAGCAGACATTCTGGGCCAGGGGAGGCTGGTGAACATCAACAAACTTTAATGCATATCAGGGCATGCCAAGCATGAGGGCACACCAATTCACCATGTTTATCCTTAATAATGCAACAGAAAAGTGGTAATTTATCAGTCAGTCAGCATCGACATTAATGGACAAGTATTCTCTGCTCTCACTGAGATTCCTGTCCAGTGGAAAAGGCAGACTTCAGGCAAATAATTATGAATAAGTAAACACATGATAGCAAATATACAAAATGTAAGGTAAAAGTAATAC